AAACATTATTTTTTACTGTATTTTAAGATTCTAGACCTGAATCGTTTGTATTCAAACGACATCCACGCCATGGCCAGCACGTACGGCATTGAAGTGGCACTGAGGGTCATTGAGAAGGAGATCAAAGATGTGTTTGCTGTCTACGGTAAGTCGGACTGTGCAGAGCCCTTTGTTCAGTTCGCCAGGGCAATTAAGTGCGACCCTTGGTTCATTGCTGCTTTATCCTTACATACAGGTATCGACGTAGACCCACGGCATCTCTCTCTAGTGGCTGACTACATGTGTTCTGAAGGAGTCTACAAACCTCTCAACCGGATAGGCATTGAGTCCAGCAGCTCCCCACTGCAACAGATGACCTTTGAGACCAGCTACAAGTTTTTGAAACAAGCCACCATGTTTGGTATGTTTCTTAATAGTGGAAGCTTTGAATATAGTGCTAATTATTTAAAAAATAGCCAGTAGTTATAGTTATATTATAAGTATGCAGAACGTTGGCAGAAATATGAAGGTGTATAAAATCTTTTTCTCTTATGTTAAACAGGCTCCTATGATAAGTTGAACTCACCCTCTGCTTGCTTGGTCGTGGGGAAAGTTGTGAAAGGAGGAACTGGACTCTTTGAACTCAAGCAGCCTTTACAGTGACCATGAAGGAGGGGGACTTCTAGGTGCACACTGCTCTGCCTTGGATGGGAAAACAAAACATAGAAATTATACAAAACAACAAACTTACTACGCCTGTATTTATTTGTCTGTATTTCCAAATTGTATGGCTTGCCCTACTGTCAGTGTATAAAGTGTCACCTATTTGTTTATGTGCACCATTTATTATGGTTAAAATAAGCAGATTGTGTGGCTCAGGAATTTTGTAGAGGTTTCACATGAACAGCCCACTCTTCACCTCGTTTGTCACAATAAATCTCAGAAATTCTACTAATATGCCCTTGTTTTAAAGATTTTGCCAGATGTTTTAATATTTTACAAACCTCAATCATGCTGTGGGGTATTGATGAAAATAACGTCCAGAAGTTTGTAGACACCTGTTCATCCAACATTTATCATGAAATTAGGGGTATTGATTTGTCCGTGCTTGTACAGTAACAGCCTCTGCTTTTCTGTGAAAGCTTGGAGCATTGCCATGAGGATTTGATTACACTCAGCCACAGGGAGCATTAGTGAGATCAGGTACTCATGTTGGATGTTCTGGATCACATTAGCCACATTATTCCACCTCAGAGGTAATGGGAGGCACTCCATCACTCCTAAGAACACAGTTCCACTGCTCTACAGCCCAATGCCAGGGGGGCTTTATACCCTTCTACCTGATGTGATGACCTTGGGCTCTTGTGCAGCTGCTTCAGAGCTTCTCATTCTATTGGCAGTGCTTTTCTGTGAAGATTACATAAGCTGTGTGTACGTAATTAACTGATTTATTATTATTTCAATCTCAGATTCTTGGTCTTTGCTCATTTTCTGTGAAGAACATATGAAATAACCCATTTTCAGTGTCTTCACTCTGTTCACCCCCCACACATTTATATTACACATGTGGTGTTGGGCTGAACCCGCGGGGAGTGAAAGTGTGTAGGTGCTGTGTCCTTCACTCTGTTCTCCGCCTACGTGGCCTGCTGTTAGTGTGTGTGTGAGGGTGGACAACATGGACAGGCTGCTGACTGGCTACAGCTGCTAAAGGAGAACCCTACGCTGGACACTTGTGATATTTTAAACATCAGGTATTTTTTCATAAATTGTTATGGCTGTATTGATTTAAAAATTAATAATGTGGTGGGTCCAGCAGACCACTGAGTAACACACACATCAACACCACACAAGGGTTAAACACCCATGTCACCTTAAAGTGGATACTTTTGGATAAGCTTGTATTGCTTTTCATAATGTGAAATGCATGTTCCTCATAAAGTGAGGAAAGAGGGATGTAGAAAGTTTGAAAAAACAGATTTAGCAAAAACTCTTTTTGTCTAATGTAGAAAACATTGTAAATGTATGTAAAGGTACCCAATGGGAATAACAAAAGAATAACAATGAATATGTGGTTTTAAGCTAGACATACAGAGATGACCAAATCACCCTCACTGAACACCTGTCTCAGTCTGTCCCTTTCATTGGCACAAAGTGCTGCTTCGCCAGATACAGACCCACACAATGTTTGCTATTTTATATAAATAATAAAGATTATTTGCAGAAAAAAGTTGTATGGCGGCAGTAGCAAACAGCTTTTAACCCCTGTGTGGTGTTGATGTGTGTGTTACTCAGTGGTCTGCTGGACCCACCACATTATTGTTTTTTTAAATCAATACAGTCATAACAATTTATGTAAAAATATCAGATGTTTAAAATATCACGTGTCCAGCGTAGGGTTCTCCTTTAGCAGCTGTAGCCAGTCAGCAGCCTGTCCCTGTTGTCCACCCTCACACACACACACTAACAGCAGGCCATGTAGGAGGAGAACAGAGTGAAGGACACAACACCTCCACACTTTTACTTCCCGCGAGTTCACCCAACACCACATGTGTAATATAAATGTGTGGGGGGTGAACAGAGTGAAGACACTGAAAATGGGTTATTTTATATGTACTTCACAGAAAATGAGCAAAGGCCAAGGATTCTGCTGTTGAAATAATAAGTCGCATCATTGTTTCCTTTGGTAAAAATTAAAAATGGGTCCCACACTGAATTATCAATACTTTAGATCCTGATGCTTCCTTATGAGAAATTATCCTTACATAAAAATGATTTTGCCCCCCCTCTACTTTTACTTACACATTTACACTGGCATATACAGCCATATGAATGTGAATGCTTTGTAACAGCAGATCATGAAGTTATTTCACTTTACTAAACAGTTTGTCAGTTTATTTTAAACAAACCCTGCTGAAAAAAGATTATTAGAACCAACAAGATTAAACCTGATGGTTGAGTGGCCTAGTGGTTACCATTGGAGACCACTAGTTTCTTGTAGGGTGCTTTCAGATCCAATTAGGAAACCATCAAATCTCTGGAATCAGTCCCAGAACACCTGTTAAACCATTAGAATCTTTTACACTGTGATATCAACCCATCGGGGTAACACAAAATGTCATTAATGACTATTAGACATCGCCATCTATGATTTTTTTCCAGCATGTCAACATGAACGCAAAGCCAAGTCCCAGACATTTTATTCCATTTAGACGTGTTTTTAGTCCTAAAAAAAGAGGATGTATGGTCACCCTAAAATATCAGCATTGATGAGATGATTGATTTGAGCAAGATTTTAAACTGACATTTGATGGCGTTTATACTTTGGAAGAGCAGATCATTCAGGTGAGGCTGGACTTCTATCCTAAAATGAATAGTATCCCACCATTAAAATGTATCTGGTTACAAACAGAACATTAATGTTAGTGCTAACTGAGGTGGATGTAGTGCCAATTTCTACACTTTATAAATGTGCATGTACTCAAAACCTAAGTATGGCCACCCTTATTTATTTATTTTTTAACCCTTTAAAATCCCAGGCTTACTACATACTTAGGCTTAAAATTCAGTAACTACAGGGACTTAAATACAAACTGGCTGAGCTGTTCTTAGGTTATATAAGTGTGTAATAAAACCTGGGCCTGCCGGTGGGCACAGGTGTATCTCTAGTTCTAGTGTTAGAAATACAAAGATTTCCTGTTTTTATGTTCTTTTTCCCTAAAGTATCAGTACTAATATCGGATCAAAAAGAAAACGAGTGGTATCGACCGACCCTGCTTTACAGAGAGTTCGAAGGAGCCTTTGTTTTATGCCCTTTTTGCCCTTTGGCTTTGAAAACTATCACTCACTTATTTTAGGCCTGAAGGAATGTTGGAAGGAGATTTCCTCAATGGTATTCCTGTCCCTACATAAATGTATGCATAAATAAAAGTCGTACTATTTCGAGAAAAAGTCGTAATATTCCGAGAAAAAAGTCGTAATATTTCGAGAAAAAAGTCGTACTATTGCGAGAAAAAAGTCGTAATATTTCGAGAAGAAAGTCGTACTATTTCTAGAAAAAAGTCGTACTATTTCGAGAAAAAAGTCGTAATATTTCGAGAAAAAAGTAATATTTCGAGAATAAAGTCGTACTATTTCGAGAAAAAAGTCGTAATATTTCGAGAAAAAAAGTCGTACTATTTCGAGAAAAAGTCGTAATATTCCGAGAAAAAAGTCGTAATATTTCGAGAAAAAAGTCGTACTATTGCGAGAAAAAAGTCGTAATATTTCGAGAAGAAAGTCGTACTATTGCGAGAAAAAAATCGTACTATTTCGAGAAAAAAGTCGTAATATTTCGAGAAAAAAAATAATATTTCGAGAAAAGGTCGTATTATTTCGAGAAAAAAGTCGTAATATTTCGAGAATAAAGTCGTATTATTTCGAGAAAAAAGTAATATTTCGAGAAAAAAGTCGTACTATTTCTAGAAAAAAGTCGTAATATTTCGAGAAAAAAAGTCGTACTATTTCGAGAATAAAGTCGTACTATTTCGAGAAAAAAGTCGTAATATTTCGAGAAAAAAGTCGTAATATTTCGAGAAGAAAGTCGTAATATTTCGAGAAAAAAGTCGTAATATTTCGAGAAGAAAGTCGTAATATTTCGAGAAAAAAGTCGCACTATTTCGAGAAGAAAGTCGTAATATTTCGAGAAAAAAGTCGTAATATTTCGAGAAGAAAGTCGTAATATTTCGAGAAAAAAGTCGTAATATTTCGAGAAAAAAGTCGTACTATTTCGAGAATAAAGTAATACTTTTTTCTCGGTCTACTATTTTTATTTTTATTAACAGTGGCCCTAAAACGCCGTCGTACTTTTATCCTCCAAATATTACGACATTTTTTCTCGTAATATTATGAATATTATGAAATTTTATGTAAAATAAAATATCCGTACAGTTTCATTATTAATGCACTTTACACGCTAATAAAGCACTTTTTCTCTTCAGACCTCTTTTCGGGGGGGGTGGGTGCAGCGTTTGGAGGACCTGCTATCCCACAATGCAACGCGCTGCCTTTTGAGCGGCAGCGACTTTCAACGTGTGCCGAAAGTGGTCATGTTATGATCGCACGATAAATAAAAAACCGTCTTGCTTTTCAGATCATTTGGCCGTTTCTGTTCCCGGGACTCCGTGCATGAGTTAGTCCGGCAGCGGCGCGTCTGCGGAGCGAACATGTCTTTGGTTTGTGCGAGTAAGTCGTGTTGTTTGTCCGAGGCGGCTAACCGAGTTAGCGCTGTTAGCGCAGCGCAGCGTTACGCACAGCGATTCTCTGCGGAGACTGGAACCGTTTACCACAGCGAACCTCACAAACCCGCATCAGCGCAGACTTTCACACACTCAGATAAGCGGTTCTGCGTGATGAATCTCAGTTTAGACCCCTTTGGGTTGTTTGGCTTGTAGCTGTGTAGTTGGTTAGCTCTCTGGCTAACAGCATGGCGCTACCGTCTGACTGAGCTCATTCACAGTGGTCGTTTAGTCGCTAAGCGTTGCGATTTGGCCGTACGCGACCCTCAGTGTGAGATATGTGGTGTTAGCACCACTGCATACCACTACAAATCATAACATCTTAAAATTTAGAAAATCTAGTTTGTTTTTACGGTTTCGTTTTTCACCGAAAAGGGGGTTGTAACAGTGGAGCCCCGGTCTATTCACCCATGGTCCCATCAGGAAGAGCAGCTCGAGTTTTTTGTATTGTTGTATTAAGGTTTGATTCCTAAATACATGGGGAGCAGTGTGTCCCGACTCTGGTTCTGGAGGCACACTGTCCTGGATCTGTTCCCAAAACTCCTGATCCAGCTAAGCAGCTCATTACCAGCCCATTATTGGGTCAAAGCAGGAAAAGCACTAAAATGTGTAGGACAGTGGGCCTCCAGGACCAGGGCTGAGAAACACTGATATAGAGAGTGAAACTTTTCTTCTTTTTGCCTTGTGGATCTACATGCTAGTCTGCCCTGCTGTGATGTGTAGTGAGCCCATGGGCTACAGATCAGGCAGAAGTAGGACACTGATAGGAAAGGAAGTTATTGGGACAGAGGTGATATGGACAAAGCAGTTTAGATCTAGATCTAGTCTAGATCCTGGTAGCGATCGAGTAATGAGGTTATCTGTTGCTGTTGGTAATACAGGTTGTCCAGATGTCATTGTGAATAGTCTTTATGCACTTTTGGACCTAAATTAATGAATAGGCTCTCAGAAAAGTTGCCTTGTTGGTATTTGTTATCAGAACCTCATAAACGTCTCCAGACTTTGCTTTATAAATTGTTCTTTAAAGGATCTGTCTTCTGCATCTTTTTCTTTTTAAAGAGATTTCTTTTCTCTCTCATTCTCAGTCTCAAACGAGGTACCGGAGCACCCATGTGTCTCTCCAGTCTCCAATCAAGTGTTTGAACGCCGTCTCATTGAAAAATACATTGCCGAGAATGGAGCTGACCCCATCAACGGGCAGCCTCTGTCTGAGGAGCAGCTCATTGATATCAAAGGTAAGAGTACAGTCTCAGTAAATAGAAACAATGAATAAGACTTCAGTACTTTTGCTCACAAGTGAAAAGTCATGACTTTGAATTGTTTTGCCTTTTGTTTTTTGTCGATATATAGTCTCTCATCCAATTCGGCCTAAGCCGCCTTCTGCCACCAGCATCCCTGCAATTCTGAAGTCACTGCAAGATGAGTGGGTGAGTTTTTTATCTCCAGTGTTTCTGAGTAAAGGCCTTTACACCCCAAGCACAATTGATTTGTGCAATTAATCAGAATACGACACATTAATTCTGTGATGTGTTTAAAATACGTTTCTTCAAATCGTGAAAATGCATCAGTTTTTTCTTCTCTGCCCTCTGCCTCTTTAACTCCTTGAGACCACTAGTGGTTCCAAAATGCACTTAGTCATATTCTTCATAAATTTCATATTTCATAAGCTACATTCTAAAGCTGGGAGGTCGTATGAGAGCTGTAACTGTCTTCTTTCCAGTCAAATAGATGGGTGATGTAATTTTAAACCCTGATAATAAAAGAAGCTGAACTCTTAATTTTTTTTCTCTACTGAAAGTTGACCCATTTTTCCACAAATCTGGGCTATAAACTATAAACAGATGGCGTCTCTTCAGTGATCTGCTCTGTTAAAATTATTTTTATGAAATAATACAAAGAGTGTCCAAGATTTTTGGCTTTCAGCAGTAAATTGTAAGCATATTGCAATATGTTTACAATCATAAAACACGTTCTGTTAATTTGAGGGGAGCTTTTACAAAAAATAAATAAAATAAAAATATACTATACATATTATTTTATGCAGTTACTGAATAATTTGCCTTACGATTTGGTCATGTGAATTCAGATGGACAAACCAAAATAAACCCTGGAGAGTAAGAGGTTAACTTCAGCATGGCAACAATCAGAACGATTGATTGGCTGTGTTCCAGCAACTAGAACTTTTTTCCAACCTCAAAGGATTAGTTTTGTCACTGATGATGTTAGCATCTGAATAAGTGACTAAGGCTAAGTTCACATTACAAGCCTGTGTTGTGAATAGCAAAGGATGTCCTTTTGCACTTGAAGATATTCCGCCTGTTTGTTTTTTTTATTGTGGCATGATGAACACGGTGCAATTACTAATTATAAATTGCATCACGCCTGTGTGTTTGTGTAGATTGTATATGATAAAAATGTCAGAATATTTTGTATTTCTGTGTCTTTTCTTTATTAACCAAAAACTAACACATTCTCTGTCTTAGGATGCCGTGATGTTGCACAGTTTCACGCTGCGCCAGCAGCTGCAGACAACGCGTCAGGAATTGTCTCATGCACTCTACCAGCATGATGCTGCCTGCAGGGTGATTGCTCGTCTCACCAAAGAGGTCACCGCTGCCAGAGAGGGTAAGTACCTGTGTACCTTTGAACTTAAAAGGGTTATCTGGTAGAAATTTTCTGAATTCAGTGTGCTTAAGTACACTTTACTTTTTACTGTAATAATAAACATCCACAAACTTTCAATCAGTGCATTTTTCACACTACAAGCAGTAGCACACTGATGCTAGGACTGTGCTGAAGTGGTCTTTATATATATAAACATAAACTCTGCATTGCTGTTTTTAACACTTTTTCCTTGTCTCTACAGCCTTGGCCACACTCAAACCTCAAGCTGGACTGGTTGCTCCTCAGGCTGCTCCCGCCTCCCAGCCTGCTGCTGTGGTTAGTGATTTTTGGAGTTTCTGTGGCAGATATGAACACACTGGACTGTGTTTCTACATTCTGATATATAATAGATGTGTATGTTCATGTGAAGAATTGATTAAATCTTTGTGTTCCTCAGGGTGCGGGTGGTGAGCCAATGGAGGTCAGTGAACAGGTGGGAATGACTCCGGAGATCATACAGAAGGTACGTACTTCACCACAATTAGGGGTCACTTTACATCTGGGGCTGTCATGATCGTGAATATTATCTGATGACCACTGTGATGAACAATATGTCTATTTTTGTTTATTGTATGCAGCTATTAAAGTACAAATCTGAAAAGGGGCATATTTGCTGATTAGCCATCTTGCTTCCTATCAATGTTTACTTAGTAGCCAACACTGTACTGACGTACTGTTGATGTTACACTATGACTTTGTCAGCAGTTACACAGACTTATGTGTAGAGTTAAGTGGAGTAAGTCTGATGATGTTTCTTAATGAATGCATTTACTGCTTTTATTTGTTTACCTCAAGCCAACAAACCCAATTCATATTTTGCTTGCTTGTGGCGTAATAACATTGTGAAATCTTAACGACTCTGAAAAATGATTGCTGTCATCTCAAATAACTGATTAGGCAATTGTGTACTAATTGTGACAGACCAAATTACATCACTGTGCTTTTTTCAGTCGATTGTGAATATGGTTAGTGTTTAAAAAAACTGACCAACAGCATATTTCATTAAAAAGACCCTATAATTACCCCTTTTTGCAGATAACGCTATGTACAGTCTAAAACATGCTATGGTTAATCCCTTTAGCTGAATGGCAGAGTCAGTGATTTTTGTAATGTTTCAAGTACAAAAAATAAAAATGCATTAGTCAGCCGATTACCTCCCATTTTGTTGTCAGTTGTAGTCTGAGGTAGTCACCTGTGTTTTCAAGGCAGACTTTAGAGCGATATATAAAAGGAACGGCCAGTCTGAGTTAGCCTTTGGCCTTTTCAGCAGATTGTGAATATGGTCAGTATTTAAACAGACCCACAGCGTATTTCATTAAAAAGACCCTATAATTACTCTTTTTAAGTTAATTTAGCGCAGCGCAGTATGTAAAGCTTTGAATAAAAATCACTATTTATAGTTTCTGATAGTATTTTTTTTTAAACATGGCACTCGTAGGGCTTCATGATCCATATTTTGTATGGTTAAAATGTCTTGAAGTATCATTAAGTTATATTTTTGCCATATCGGCACCCTTAACCACAATTTCCACTGGATTCTGCATGATCAGCTGACGTATATGAAGTTGATTGCTTTATGTTGTTCATAGATGTAAATGAGTGACCTTTTCCCTTCTTTTCCAGCTGCAAGACAAGGCCACTGTCCTGACCACAGAGAGAAAGAAGGTAATAAAGTAATAGTTTGTAAAGATGTTTGAATTGGTACATCAGGTTGTGTTATTTAAACATCCTGCTTCAAAATGGTCTTTTTCGTTTCACAGAGGGGAAAAACGGTGCCAGAGGAGCTGGTTAGAGCCGAGGATCTCAGCAAGTACCGCCAAGTGGCCTCTCATGCTGTGAGTCAGTCTGGCATTTTTCTGTGTGTGTGGGTGTGACAGACAGATCATGCAAGATGTAAATGTATAGCACTGTATTGCAGCTCTGGGTTATTAATTAATGTTGATTCTGATTCTCTTCTGTTCAGGGTCTTCACAGTGCCAGTATACCTGGAATCCTTGCTCTGGATCTCTGCCCGACAGACACCAACAAAGTGCTCACAGGTATAAATAAACACACGTGAAAATTAAATAATGAATAATATTAAGTTACCCTTGGTTAATCCTCCTACGGGGAAATTCACCTCAGCATTTAACCCATCTGTGCAGTGAAACACCACATACACACTAGTGAACACACCCACTAGGGGGCAGTGAGCACACTTGCCCAGGGCAGTGGGCAGCCCCATCCACAGCACCTGGGGAGCAGTTGGGGGTTAGGTGCCTTGCTCAAGGGCACTTCAGTCATGTACTGTAGGCACAAGGGATCGAACCGGCGACCTTCCGGTCACAGGGCTGGTTTCCTTATGGCTGCCCCAAACATTATATGAATAATTACAGGGCCTGAATTTCATTGCAGGATTGCAGGTATTGCGCGTTATTTGATTGAATGCTGCAAATCTGACACATACAACTTGACACACTTGGCGCTCTCTTCCTCTATATACGAGCTTATTAGCGCCCTCTGCTGCTACAGCACCTCTCGCTAACATGTACAGACGGGTTTCATTGATATGGACTTAAAGGCCTGCACACATGGAGCGCTGACTAAAACGTAAATCTACATAATCTGAAGTGGAACCCGCTTAGAAAAAAACACCGGAACCCGAAATGGCCCAAACAGCAGTGCTAGCGATGTCAGCATTAACAATATGAATCCTCAGGATCCTCAGTCAGGTAACAGTAACGTTAGCGAGGTGAAGCAGCAGCACAAAGACAAGTTTCAGATTAACAGGCTCAGAATATTTCCGTGGCTCAAACTTAACGACGGTGAAATGAGCTGCTCGATTTGTAAACTGTACAGTGCTGCGCCTTTTACCAGCCCATGTTACAAAACGTCACCTTTAAGGCGCCACTCAGATGGTGTTTTTCATACCGTAGCCTGGAAAAGAAAGCATGAGGCAGATTCAGCAAAGAATGTGATGGCTAATGCTGTTGAAGCTGTGCAGTTGCAGTGTTAGGAGGAAACAAAGGGGCTGCTTGAAACTTCTTTATAGTAGAAAATGAATTGGCTAACTCAAAATTTGGTCATCTGGTTAAATTCGTGAAAGAGAGCCTTCACAAAGAGCGGGACAAGGTAAGACCTATAGTTAAACTCACAAGTAGTATCCCTCCCAAAGTGTATAAATCCCCCCTATGTGAAACATTTAAGGGGGGTATCCCCCCCACCTACCTATTATGAAAAATGAATTTCAGGCCCTGTCTTAGTTAATCATTTCAAAGTAAGATGTGACTTCGACACATTAATAACAACCATCCTCTAAAAGAATACTTATTGTAAAGTGTGTATGACTGCAATAATACATGAACTCTTACTGGCTCTCTTTCTATTTAGGTGGAGCGGATAAGAATGTGGTGGTGTTTGATCGTCGAGAGGAGCAGATTGTGGCCACACTCAAAGGCCACACAAAGAAGGTCACCTCCGTCATATACCACCCGTCCCAGGTAAGCAGAATACCAATTGAAATTCTTTCTAAGGCTTTTTTTGTCATAACCTTTATACTGGTATGCAACGAATAAGCACACAACGCAACATACAGACAGTCTGAAACATATTAAGGTTAACCCCTTTAGTTGAATTGCAGAGACGTGGATGTTCGTAATGTTTCAAGTGAAAATAAAAATGCTTCAGTCAGCCGATGACCTACTTTTGTGTTGTCAGTTGCAGTCTGAGGTAGTCAGACTTAATTTCAAGGCAGACTTTAGAGACGTATATTAAAGGAACAGCCAGTCTCTTGAGTTAGCTTTTAGCCTTTCTACTAACAATGTTTGCTATCCGGTGTCGACCAGAGGAGGATGGGTTCCCCTTCTGAGTCTTGGTTCCTCTCAAGGTTTCTTCCTCCTGCTCTTAGGGAGTTTTTCCTTGCCACTGTGTCCACTGGCGACGCTCATGGGGGCTTGGATTTTCTTTTTCTGTAATGCTGATTTTTCTGTAAAGCTGCTTTGTGACACCTGTTGTAACAAGCGCTGTATAAATAAACTTTGCTTGCTTGCTTGCCTAACCCATAATACGCAGGCCTACAGATCTTGTGTGCCTTTTGCTAATCTCAGTTTGTCTCACCTCCTTGCAGTCTGTGGTGTTTTCGGCATCCCCAGACAGCACTATCCGTGTTTGGTCCATCTCAGCGGGCAACTGTGTTCAGGTGGTTAGAGCTCATGAGGCGGGAGTTACTGGCCTGTCCCTCCATGCTACTGGAGATTATCTGCTCAGTTCATCCGAGGACCAGGTAACATCTACACACAGACCACACAAACAGTCTTGTTAAAATGGCCACTTAGCTGGTCCTAAGAGATTATTTAATCTTATTCTCCAGGGTATATTTTGGTTTTTGCATCTGAATTTACATGACCAAATCATAAGGCAAGTTATTCAGTAACTGCATGAAATAAATGTAAATTTTTATTTTATTTATTTATTCATTTTTGGTAAAAGTTCCCCTCAAATTGACAATGTGTTTTATGATCACACATATTGCTATATGCTAATAATTTACTGCCAAAAGCCAAAAATCTTAGATGTTCTTTGTATTATTTTATAAAAATAATTTTTACAGAGCAGATCACTGAAGAGACGCCATCTGTTTAGTTTATAGCTCAGATTTGTGGAAAAATGGGTCGACTTTCAGCAGACAAAAAAAAATTCTGCTTCTTTTATTATAAGGGTTTAAAATTACATCACCCATCTATTTGGCTGGAAAGAAGACAGTTACAGCTCTCATACGACCCCCACCTTTAGAATGTAGCTTATGAAATATAAAAGTTATGAAGAATATGACGAAGTGGGTTTTGGAACCACCGGTGGTCTCAGAGTTGAAAAGGTTAATGTACAGAAGTTGTTTACTTATTTACATTTTTGAAATCAGCTTAGTTAATGAGCTCAAATACATTTACAGGAAAATGGAGATGTATGTTTTTTTTAAGACAACAAAAAGCAAAAAAGTTCACGTTTTGATCTGTGTTTGTCTTCTAGTACTGGGCCTTTTCTGATATCCAAACCGGCCGCGTTCTCACTAAAGTCACTGATGAGACAGCAGGATGTGGTACGTAGTTCTGTCTCGGCCAAAAGTCTTTTATACTCACAAGAACGTTACTACTTCCTCACTTCAGCTTGTTGACTAATATGTCTAACTTTTAACTTTTTTTTCTTCGCTCTGGCTACAGCACTGACCTGTGCTCAGTTCCATCCTGACGGGCTGATTTTCGGCACCGGTACAGCGGACTCTCAGATTAAGATCTGGGATCTGAAGGAGAGAACCAATGTGGCCAACTTCCCTGGCCACTCCGGCCCGGTCACTGCCATCGCCTTCTCTGAGAACGGATACTACCTGGCTACTGGTAAATAATGTGTGGTTTTCTCTTTCTTTCTTTCTCCTGTTTCTTTTTTATTTTTTGTGTTGGAATCACACCCTTTGTCTTGTAGGTGCTCAGGATAGCTCTCTGAAGCTGTGGGATTTGAGAAAGCTGAAGAACTTTAAGACGATCACTTTGGACAATAATTATGAGGTGTGTCATCTTGTATTTTTGGCTGTTTTGTTCATGTTCAGTACATGTTCTGTGTGTTTACTGTGTTTTTGCACACTTAACTGAGTCTCGTGTAATTTGTAATAATCATACATATTGTAAATATGATTTCGGACTAGTTCCAGTATGTATGGCTTAATATTGATCTGTTTCTCTTCTTTCTCTTCTTCTGCAGGTGAAGTCTCTGGTGTTCGACCAGAGTGGAACTTACCTGGCTGTTGGAGGATCTGATATCAGAGTTTATATCTGCAAACAGTGGTCTGAGGTCCTCAACTTCACTGGTGAGTGTAACAGTTCCATCATGATATACATAATCTGTATCTTTTTAAGGGCTGTTAAAATTACTCACTTATGTTTGATTAAAAAAAACAGAGAGAGAGAGAGAGAGAGAGAGAGACACTTACCTCAGTGAAGCAGCAAAAAATAGTTGGCAATTTTTATCATGATATTACTAAATTCTCATATTGGTCTCTCTCGCAATAAGAAACAACCTAATGGACACCTTTTATATTTTATAGAATATAGAAGTCTTTTAAAAGGCTTTCTAATTGTTCTTTTTTCCAGTTAAGTATTTTGGAATCTTTTAGGCTGACGTCCGTTTTTATGTTTCAGCCTTTTCCACCATTGATTTCTTTATTAATCATCCAAATAATCAGTAAATTATTTGATTACTAATGTAATCAGTATAAAGGCTTTTACGTATTTTCTTTTTGTTTACTGCATGTGTTTGTCAAATATAGAGTTTGCTTCTTAATTGTTTTGGTATGTTCATGAGATCTGACAGTAGCCACGTTAATCCGTTAATAATCCGACTAATAACTAAATCGGAATAGAATATGTCCATGTAAACACCTCAATCAGAATAGACTAGTCCGATTGAGGCCATTCGGAATACAGTTCCTATCCGACTGATTGAGGTGGGTAATCCTGTAAATAATCCATTAAATAGAAGAATAATATCCGTGTAAACGCCTGTATCTGATTACATTCCCTATCGGAAAGTTTAAGTCCGTTCTGATCATGTTCGTCGCGTCATAGTGAAAGTTTATACCGTTCAACATGGCGGAGCAGAAACTGGTCTGCAGAGGAGACGAAGTTTATGCTCTGATCTTTAAAAGACGGCGGTGGGACGGACGTCCAGCTTATGTGTCCCAGAACACGACGTCTTCCTCTCGGCCTTCTTTAATAAGGACATGTGAAGGACGTTTTCCTGAGTCTGACATCATTTTAAAGTGATTAAAAACACAAGCGCTGCTCACTGCTGCTCGTCTCACTCAGACTGGACTCGCTGTCATGGTAACGTCTACATTACGGTTCTCTACGTATGAGCGTCATTCTGGATCGGATTACTTGCCGTGCGCATGTAGACGAAGATTTTCCATCAGATTGTTCAGTAGAGTGAGGATAAACACCTCAGTCTTAATTTGTAATCGGAATGTATTCAATCGGATAGGTAAATGTCTTCGCGTGTAAACACAGCCAGTAACTTGTCGTTATACTGTGAAGACTAGTCATAGCATTACTACCTCACAGTGAATACTTGAAATATAAATGTTGCAACGTTATTCTTGGGTGTCTGAGCAAAGAGCAGAGATTGACACATGGTGGGTTTTCTGTGTTCCCTTTTCTTTCTTTCTGTTCTCTACCTCTCTTTCTGTAGATCACGGTGGTCTGGTGACGGGGGTGGCGTTTGGCGAGCATGCGCAGTTCTTGTCCTCCACTGGAATGGATAGAAGCCTCAAGTTCTATAGCCTGTAGGGCAGAGGAAGGCAAGAAAAAAGGAGAAGTGAACAGAGAGGAATAGAAATAATAATCTAGTCCACAGGCCATTCTAGTGGGTAAGAAAGAAACCAAGAGCAGTAGAACCCATTCATGTGAAGAAGTTAGGACCCTAATATTTCCTCATTTTTCTCAGCCTGTATGTGATTACAGACAAGATTGATTCATTTACGTATACATTATTTCGTGGTGACAGCTGAACTTCATAAACGCAGACCTTCTCTTCCATTTGGTCATCTATCACATGGCCATTTACTCTATTGTGGATTTCTGCTTAAATATTTTTAGTGGATATTCATTATTTTGCTCTTGTGTTGCTCTTTTGATTTCAGCCATATTTTCCCCAGCTTTTTTACTTGTAGGGCTGCCTTTTCTGTTTTCTTTGTAGCTTAGTGATCTTGCTGTTGGTAGTCTCTCATTTTTATACCCTGTCCTGAACTGAAACCACAGTGCGAATTAATTTCAATAAAGACTTAATGCTGTTTTTAATCTGCTCTTGCACTGTGACTGACTACTTCGTGATGTGCACTTGAATTGACGTAGTATTCTAATACCATTAATCTAATGTGAGTCATATTGGACCAGAGGTTTACTTGATATGACGTGCCTTAATCATGCAATACTGAGCAAAAATATAAAAGCAGACTTCTGTTTTTTTCTGTTCTTTTGCTCCCATTTTGTAGTAGTTTGATGGTGGTCACACCAGATACTAATGTAGAAATGATGCTAATGTTTTTTTGCAGGGTTTCTGTAAAATCTCTTCATTAGAAAAGTATTGCTTAATATTTTTGTTCAGTGTACATTCTGAGCACTGCGTTCTGGTGAATAATTATCTGCAGTATGTACTAGAATATGCCACAATAAAGTGGTTAGCAGTTGGTCAAACCGTGCCAAAAATGAAAACATAATGCAATGCAAATCACTTAAACCCGGTATTTAATTTAAAATGGTATAAAGACAACACATCAAATGTTGAAACTGGGAAATACTGAAACCATTTGAAACAAATTTTGAAAAAATTGGTTTCTGAAAAATATGTGCATGTTTGAATTTGAAGTCAGCAGCATTTGAATATGTTGGGACAGGGCAACATATGATTGGTAAAGTTGTTTAATGCTTAAAAAAAAAAACCTCAGAGAGGCTGAGTCTTTCAGAAGTAAAGATGGGGAGGGTTCACCACTCTGAGAAAGACTGCACGGGAAAATAGTGCAACAATTCAAGAATAACTTTTCTCAACGTAAAATAGCAAAGAACTTGGAGATTTTATCATTTAGGGTACATAATATCATTAAAAGATTCAGTGAATCCAGAGAAATCTCTGTATGCAAGGGACAAGGCCAAAAACCAATACTGGATGCTCGTGATCTTCGGGCCCTCAGACTGCTCCGCATTAAAAACAGACACGATTCTGTAGTGGAAATCACTGCATGGGCTCAGAAACACTTCAGAAGAGCACTGTCAGTAAACAGTTTCGCTGCATCCACAAATGCAAGTTAAAAAGTCTTCACTGCAAAGAAGAAACCTTATATAAACAGGATCCAGAAACACTGCCACCTACTCTGGGCCCAATGTGGAGAAATGTCCTGTGGTTCAAAGAATCAAAAATTGAAATTCTTTTTAAAATCACGTACACTGCGTCTGCTGGGCTAAAGACCACCCAGCTTGTTATCGTGCAAAACACAGTTCAAAAGCTGGCATTTATGATGGTATAGGGGTGAATTAGTGCACATGGCATGGGTGACTTGCACATCCATTAATGCTGAATGATATATCTATATATGAACAGGTTTTGGCAACATGCCGTCATACAGATGATGTCTTTTTTCAGGTAAGGCCTTGATTATTTTAGCAGGACAATGTAAAATCACATTTTACAATTTAGTTAGGGTTCTAAACTGGCCAGACTTGTCATCACTGAAAACATTTGGGGAATTAGGACATGAAAAATACAACAAAGGAAACCCTGAACTGTTCTCCTGGCCTCCTCAGTTCCCAAACACTTACAATGTGTTAAAAGACATGGTGATGCGTCACAGTGCTAAACATGCCCGTCCCAATATTTTGGAATGTGTAGCTGGCATCCTATTCAAAATGGGCATTTAATTCATAAAAAAAAAAATGAAATTTGTCAGTTTCAATATTTGCAGCACCAGCACTAGTGAGGTCAGGTACTGAAGTGGGATGGTTAGTTCTGGATCACAAATGCCACTCATACTCATCTCAAAAGCACTCGATGGAGCTCCATCGTTCCAGAGAACACTATTGAGGGGCTTTGTACCCCTCCAGTAGACACTTGGCATTGAGCATGGTGACCTTAGAGCATCTTATTCTGTTGGCAGTGCTGTTCTATGGAGATTATACAAGTTCTGAGTGTGTAATTAACCTTAGACCTCAGAGACCCTCTGTCAACTAAATGTACCTCCATATCCCAACAGTCCACAGTCTAAACTGTATCGTTACAACTGTATCATATCACTACAACAATTGTATAAACGATGTACGTCTCAGTTATGTGAGTGTTGCTAATACACAACCATGGTTTTCACAACTTTTTGCATTATTAACACAAAGGCCACATTTTCAACTACTCCCCACCCCAACACCAAAAGCCCTTCATGTGTTGGATCAGGTGTTTTCTGATGGTTTCACATGCATATATTTATAGCGCATAGTTTCATTAATAATAATAATAATATCTTCCAAAGTTGGCATGGGAGGCCAGCTATATAATACTATATAACAGGGGTATTTAATTAATATTCAATAAGGTCCAGTTAGAGAAAATTTCCTCAAGCGAAGGTCCAGAACATCAGAATGTCTAACTTGCATAATGATTCAGTGCCATATACTGTAAACTGAAGTGGCCTAGTAGTTACATCAACATCTTATACAGTCAACAACTGAATATCAAATCAAATAAAGTACAATTCAGTCATATTTCAACAATATTGTCAGTTTTCTCTTTTTAGAGCACGACATGTAAAATAACTTCCCTCTGACTCACTTTCTTCTCTGACTGCTGTTCCTCGCCTCGTCCCTCCCCTGTGTGTGCATCAGTCATTCGAGTCTCAGTGCTCATCGTGTTGCACAGATCTGATTGGCTGAGTAGCGTCACGTGTGATATTTACACACAGTATTTTGATGAAGTATGGTGTAGTGTTATAAAACAGAGCTTTAAAAAGCTCCTTTTTTAATCTCCCTACCTTGTTTATGTGTATTGAAGCGTTTTATGGTTGGTACCTCCCTAAAGACAGTTTAAAATGGGAAAATACCAAGAAAATACCAACAGAGTCAATGCTGGGGTTTCTGAGGGTTAAACTCGCTGAACCAACTCAAAGGGGAACTCCACCAGTTTTTGTATCATTAAATGGTTAACAAGTCAACAAAATCATTCAGAGTGGTTTGGTGTGAAATGCTTCATTGTCAGAATTGTTCACAGTGGTGTTGATAGGAACCAGACGTCTGAGGAATTTTAAGGCTCCCTCACAGAAAGTTATTACAGGAAATGTTTATGAATACTCAGCCTGATGTCTGAGACACTGCTTTACTGTAGTTTTGTGTTAAACCTTTGGTCTAAAACTATTTTAACCTTTGTGTGGTGTTGATGTGTGTGTTACTCAGTGGTCTGCTGGACCCACCACATTATTGTTTTTTTTAAATCATAATCATAACAATTTATGTAAAAATACCAGATGTTTAAAATATTACAAGTGTCCAGCATAGGGTTCTACTTTAGCAGCTGTAGCCAGTCAGCAGCCTGTCCATGTTGTCCACCCTCACACACACACACACACACACACTAACAGCAGGTCATGTAGGGGTGAACAGTGTGAAGACACTGAAAATGTGTTGTTTTATATGTTCTTTACAGGTAATGAGCAAAGGCAAAGGAATCTGGGGTTGAAATAATAATAAATCATATCATTTTTTATTTTGGTACACATTAAAAATGGGTCCCACAGACCCCAACACCACACAAGGGTTAATCCATTCACGGTGGAGGGATACAAGACGGGTGTTCTAAGGCAAAACAGTCCCCAAAGAAAAACTTATTTTTTCAGATTCACTATTATTTCACCATCATCAACATTATAGACTATACATGTAATCTCTAGCTAGATTCACTAGTGATTTTGGATAGTAAATAAATGTCTATATTTGTGTTGTAGACATTCCTTTCACCACCACTCTAAACAAAAACGCGACTTTCTATACAAACAAACCACTTCACACCAAATCAGTCTGAATGAGTTTGTTTACATTTAAGCACTGCGTTGTGTGGACATTTTGAAAAATGGGTGGAATTCCCCTTTAGGTAGAAGAGGAGTGTGGATACCTTTGGAGGCTCCAGTGAGGCGAAGATCTGTGGCTTTACGGAATAAATCTTACTTTATCATAAATCATTTGAAGGTAAACTGTAACTGAGAGCCGGTAGAGCTGATAGAACGGCTCCGTGTGGAACCCTGCGGTCACGTGAGCGTCTCGTGGAATGTGACCAATGACTGTGCACTGACTAACTCGGTCGAAACGGGAAGTCGGTGGCGGAGCGGTGAGAACGCTGAGAGCTAACCGGTGAAAGGCTTCACTCGCACGGACACCGTCCACGAACACGGAGCCTGCAGTTAGCGACGAGCAGCCGGCGCGTTCCCCCCCGAATTGGGCTGAAGACAGTGGGAGAGAAGTTGGTCCTCGGTGCTGGTTGACTACCGGCGGGTGAGTGTTACTACACCGGTCCGACCACAACAACAGAGCAGAGCGCTCCTCTCTTCTCCCAGCGCGGTGAGAGAGCCGAGCTCCAGAACAGCTGTAGTGGAGGAGAGGGTGGTTGTTTTAAAGGGTTCTCTCGGTTTAGCGCTAGTCGAGCTCCAGTCTGTGCACTTTTCTCATTCTTACGGACTGAATGACCAAAGTTGGTCGAAAACGTCATGTATATCGATTAAGTGTGAAACAATTTGACGTAAGAAAACCACCGTTTTGCAGCTCCTGCAGGCCTGACTGTCTGTCGCCACCGCCAAAAACGAAACCTGAATAGTGGAAGTTGGAAAGTCCTGATTGATTAAACCGTTTTAAGAAAAGTTCCCAACTTTCTGTGTTTTTTAGGACTCGCTAGGCTGTCTTAGGGTCTTAGAGCTCGTTATGGAGGACTGTATTTAAGTTAATGTCATCCCCAAAAGACTAAAGCTGTCAGAAACACCAGTGCTGCTCGGTGTCCGAGTCATTCGTGTCATTGGAGAAGCAGCTTGTGCGTGAAATGCAAATGGAAAACTCACCTCGTGCTCTGTAGGAGGAAGTGAGTTTCTCTTCATCTCCCACTATTTCAACACTATCTTTGGTAAAGGTACTCTCTTAAAAAGATGGTTCTTCAGGGGTTCTTTAGTGAAGGTAATGCTGTTTAGAACCATTTCATGAGTAGTTAGTTGGTTAATTAATTCATTCATTCATTAATCGTGGTGAAAAGGTTCTTCAGATTGATGGAGAATGTGTTTATGGTTTTTATGGTAACCTTCTTAAAAATGGATATATATGTAGAACCAAAAAGGGCTCTTCTGTTGTTATAAGCTTGACATCATAACAATAGAAGAACTCTTTTGGTGCTGTATAGAACCATATGCAACATATTCTCCATCAATCTGAAGAACAATTTTATTATAAAAAAGAACCATTTAAGCATAGACACTGTTCTATATACACCGATCAGGCGCAACATTATGACCACCTCCTTGTTTCTACGCTCATTGTCCATTTTATCAGCTCCACTTACTATATAGGTGGACTTTGTAGTTCTACAGTTACAGACTGTAGTCCATCTGTTTCTCTGCATACTTTGTTAGCCCCCTTTTACCCTGTTCTTCAGTGGTCAGGACCCCCATGGACCCTTACAGAGCAGGTACTATTTGGGTGGTGGATCATTCTCAGCACTGCAGTAACACTGACGTGGTGGTGGTGTGTTAGTGTGTGTTGTGCTGGTTGTAGAACTACAAAGTGCACCTATATAGTAAGTAGAGCTGATAAAATGGACAATGAGCGTAGAAACAAGGAGGTGGTCAGAATGTTATGCCTGATCGGTGTAAAACACAGATTTAAACAGAACCGATGCCTTTACTGAACAAAAAACAAAAACAAGCTCTCAAACACACCACTAAAAACTCACCTCGTGCTCTGTAAGAGGAAATAAGTTGGTTTCTCTTCATCTCCTACTATTTTAACACTGTGTCTTTGGTAACGTTACACCCTTAAAAAAGATAGTTCTTGAGGGCTGCTTTAGTAAAGCTAATGGTTCCATTTGGAACCATTTCGTGCTTCATTTATTTATTTTTATTGTTATGTTTTTGGGTTTTTTTTGCATGATGAAACATTCTTCAGATTGATGGAGAGTGTGTTGTCTCTCCATGGGGGCAGTCATGGGCTGGAGATTAGGGAACCAGCCCTGTGACCAGAAGGTCACCAGCTCCCCGGGCGCTGCGGATAGGGCAGCCCACCTCTCTGGGCAGGTGTGCTCACTGCCCCCCAGTGTGTGTGTTCACTAGTGTGTATGTGGTGTTTCACTGCATGGATGGGTTAAAATGCAGATGTGAAATTTCCCCATTGTGGGACTAATAAGGGTAACTTAATCAAGTATATGGTCTTTATAGAACCTTCTTGAAAATGGTTCTATATAGAACCAAAAAGGGTTCTTCTGTTGTTATAAGCTTGACATTGTAACAGTAGAAGAACCCTGTTTGGTGCTAAACAGGACCACATGCAACACATTCACCATCAATCTGAAGAACAATTTAGGCATTGAAACCATTTAAGCATAAAAATAGTTCTGTGTTCTATATAAAATGTGATTTTAAATAGAACCAATGCCTTTACTAAACAACCCTTGAAAAAACAAGCTCTCAAACGCACCAATAAATATCTATGGTTTGTCGAGATCTCTGACCTTCTCCACCTCAAGGCCCACCTGTTTATGACTAGAAAGCATGAAGGCCCACAAAGAAACAAACCTCAATGTTTTTGCTTAAAAATGTCATTTTTGTGGAAAATTTTCCAAACTGTGATGTGAGGGGGCGTACTCTTGCAACACGTGATGTGTATCAGTGAACATGAAATATCAGCAGAATATTGGTGTGAGTGGACAACGGAAAAGGTCAGGTGCTTCTAGAAGCAAAGGGCAAAAAAATAAATGTAGCTGGGTCATTAGTTTACAGATATACTACACTTGAAAAACATGTTAGGGTTACAATTGTGTATATTTTAATGTAAAACAATGTTATTTTAACAATTACACCTTCTTGGGCCTCAATTTAGCAATATTGTTTTTTTAATCAATCAATAAAGAATTCCGAGTATCACAGAAGAGCTCGTCCTCACGGTCATGTGTAAAGGGTGAGGCCATATTTTGAGGTTAAAAAACATGTTTTTCTGCAATTTTAACTGCAATAATCTATACATGACCATGAAATATATGAATTAAATGACCAAATGAGCCAAATAAATATTATAAAATATATAATGAAAGTTGTTGTCCCCAGGAGTCGTGTCACTGGTGTTACTGCGCAACAAAAAATCTCTTATTTTGAAATAAAAGTCACACCGATGACATACCTTGACTTCCTTTTACCTGTTTTCTGAGGATCTATGAGGAAAAGCACATGGCGAGTCCACTGTGTCTTTCAGTTATCAGAGATTTTCTCATTTAGCTCATGATTTCATATGAAGCTTTTAGCTGAAGTCACTGGTGTGACCGAATTTTATTCTTAGCTAATTGTGAAAAAATAGAACACAAATGGATTAAATTATGTATTTTAGTGGATATTCCAGGATTGACAACATGTGGTTTGATGCTCTGTAGCAGCCATGTTGTAAAATGTATTTTTCATTAAAAATGTCTCTGGTGTTCCCTTTCTAGTGTGTATCACCAGTGAGGATTGGTAACACCAGTGACTCCTATGGATAGATAGAAGAGTGGACGTTTCTCTAGAATGACCCAGCTGCCTTTGTGCACTGTTATTGCGGGGCTTGTATTAATGTTGTCACCTATCTGAAAACATTTTAGGTTTCCTTTTTATTGTAAAGTCAATTTCTCACTGATTTTTATGACAACGTGCCATCACAGGCCCGTTACAGACTACTCAGTATAGGTCCAAGGGGTGCTTCGCAGCTCACTTGTGGTTCTCGGCTCAGTGGTTGAGAAACCCTGCTCTAGTGAGACTGCACTGAGCTCATGTGACACTGACTGTAATGACAGTGTCAGTTAGGGTATTTCATATCAGAGGTGCGTGACACTGTCTGAATATGAATTCCTGTTAAGATTATTTACGTATTGATCTTTAACACTCATGGGAGCTTTACATGGTAATGTAAAGGTTAAGCAGACAGAAAGAAAATAGTACCACTTAATTTACAGAACAGTCACAGAACTGTTCTTTCAAAAGCGATGGACCCAATGAGAGACCTAGGTTATAGTTAACTGTGAGATACTGGATACCATGATAAAAGACAGAATTACACAAGGAAAAAAAAAAAAACTAAAATTACAACAAAGGAAAACTGGAACAACACTGTATTATAACCATTATACCATGGATATAATGCTTATTATCTAGGGCTGCAACAAAGTCGAATAATCTATCGATTATTAAAACGAATAATCGATTATTCAGATTATCAATCGCTCAATTACCAAATAGCTCCTATGTAGCTATCAGCATTTAAATTTAGCTTGAGGTTGTTTAATGAATTTGCTAACTAGCGGTAATGTCAAAACATTCCTAGTTAGTGCGAGAAATGTGCATGATGACGTGACCAACTTATTGACCATTAAATTAGTTGCCAACTAATTTGGTCGTCGATTTTAGTCGACTAAGTCGATTAATCGTTGCACCCCTATTATTATCTATCAAATATATCACAAAAATATTTCTAAATTTGAAAACCAACATCATGATATATTAACAACACAGTACACCTATATAGACAAACTGCTGCCCAGCACTATTTTTAGATAGACAGTGGAAAAGAAAAGATGATACATGTGGAATAAAAGTACATGTGGGATCTCTGTCTATGTAGCACAGATGCACACTGGACTCACACTCACATGCTGGTCTATATGCAGCAGAAAAGAGAAGAAGCCTGTCTGTTTACTACAGGAACTTCCATATCATACCTTCAGTAATAGACCTAGGAGCACATGAGGAAGTGTCATGTGATGGCTAATTGTGTCTGTGTTAGTAATCTCTCTCTCTGTCTGTCTGTCTGTCTGTCTGTCTCTCTCTCTCAGGTCATGGGCTCCATGTTCCGCAGTGAGGAGGTTTGCCTGGTGCAGCTTTTCTTGCAGTCTGGTGCAGCATACAACTGCGTCAGTGAGCTGGGAGAGCTGGGAATCGTCGAGTTTAGAGATGTGAGCGTTTGGATAATTTGCATGTTCTCTCTCTCGCTCTCTTTCTCGCGCTACCTCTCTATCCTCTGTGCCTCTCTATCCTCTTTTTGGCTTTTTCACTCATGCACACACAACTGTTTAGCTCACAGTCATTAATCATTTATGCTTAATGTACATACTGTATTTTCCAAAACGCTTACATTTGAAACTAAATTCACAAAAAAAGAATTTTGACTTTGATATGGATATTAGGTGTAGTATCACAATTCTTGAAACCAGAACAATACTAGCCTAATAATCCGTTAATAATCCGACTAATAGCTCAATCGGAATAGAATATGTCCATGTGAACACCTCAGTCTGAATGTCCAATTGGGGCCATTCGGAATACAACGTCTGTCTGATTGAATGAGGTGGGTAATCCTGTAAATAATCAGTTAAATAGAAGAATAATATCCGTGTAAACACCTGTATCTGATTACATTCCCAATCAGAAAGTCTAAGTCCGTTCTGATCATGTTCGTCACGTTATAGTGAAAGTTTATACCGTTCAGCATGGCGGAGCAGAAACTGGTCTGCAGAGGAGACGAAGTTTATGCTCTGATCTTTAAAAGACGGCAGTGGGACGGACGTCCAGCTTATGTGTCTCAGAACACGACGTCTTCCTCTCGGCCTTCTTTAATAAGGACATGTGAAGGACGTTTTCTGAGTCTGACATCATTTTGAAGTAATTAAAAACACAAGCGCTGCTCACTGCTGCTCGTCTCACTCACTGGACTCACGTGATGCTGGTTGTCATGGTAACGTCTACCCTAAGCGGTTCTCTATGCATGCGCGCCATTGTGGATCGGATTACTTGTAGTGAGCATGTAAACTGAGATTTTCCATCAGTGTTGAGTAGAGTGAGCATAAACACCTCAGTCTTAATCTGTAATCGGAATGTATTCGATTGAATTCGCAAAAATATTTGCATGTAAACACAGCCAGTGTCTGAACACCCACTGCCTATAAAAGTCAGGGGTGGGGAACATTGGTCCTGGAGGGCTGTACCATTTGATGATGATTCTGCTCTAACACACCTGATTTAACTCAGCAGTTAATAGCTAGGTTTAGTTGTTGCATCAGAACAGAGAAATCAGCAAACTGTGCTGGACTCTGGCCCTCAGTTTCCCACCCTGATGTAAGATCTTACTGCACACAGTAACATGGTTAAAGAAAAAATGTAAAGCATTGCACTACAGTAATGAATTGTTTACCAGGCTGTAGCATGGAAAAAAGCACTGAACTATAGATACATCATGCAGCACTGTTTAAAATGGCTAGAAAAAAAACGCATCAGAACAGAGAGTTCTGTAGTTAACCCTTGTGTGGTGTTCAGGTCTGTGGGCCCCATTTTCAATGTTTACCAAAAGAAAAAATGATTTGATTTATTATTATTTCAACCTCAGATGCTTGGCCTTTGCTCATTTTCTGCGAAGAACAAATAAAATAACCCATTTTCAGTGTCTTCACTCTGTTCACCCCCCACACATTTATATTACACATGTGGTGTTGGGCTGAACCCACAGGGAATAAAAGTGTGGAGGTGCTGTGTCTCCTTCTGCATGGCCTGCTGTTAGTGTCTGTGTGTGTGTGTGTGTGTGTGTGTGTGTGTGTGTGTGTGTGTGTGTGTGTGTGTGTGCGTGTGTGTGTGTGTGTGTGAGAGAGGGTGGACAACATGGACAGGCTGCTGACTGGCTACACTGGCCACTTGTGATATGTTAAACATCTGGTATTTCTACATAAATTGTTATGGCTGTATTGATGTAAAAGCCAATAATGCAGTGGATCCACCAGACCACTGAGTGACAAACACATCAACACCACACAAGGGTTAAACTGGTTTAGATTACCCTGATTGGTTAAATCAGAATGTGCATCTTACCTTATTTAAAACTGTTCTGCTTGCCATAAACTGTATATTTTTTATCCTAGCTTAATCCGAATGTGAACGCATTTCAAAGAAAGTTTGTCAATGAGGTGAGGAGATGCGAAGAGCTGGAGAAAACTTTTGGTGAGCGTCACTGACTTCTGACTTCTGAGTCCATTCCGTCCCATAGTAGAATTTACGCTGGTTGTTACTGAGCTGACTTTAATTTTGTATCTGTTTTGCTTGAAACTCAGCGTTTCTGGAGCAGGAGATTACACGCTCCCTCCCTCCGTCCCTCCGCTCATCTCTGCAGGAGCCTGTGCCCACCCCTCCAGCCCCTCAGCCCAGGGAGCTGTTAACCATAGAGGAGGAAAGTGAACGGTTGGCCCGCGAACTCAGGGAGGTATGTGTGAGCAGCAAGAGACGGTGTCTTATAGTGCGAGTTGAGTAGCAATGTCAGTTTACATGTTATATAACTTTATTTGTTGTTGTCACTAATGCTTGTTTGCTGTTTACTGTTGCAGGTGTCCAGGAACAGAGACAGTATCCGAGCTCAGCTGAACCAGCTGTGTCAGTACAGAGGAGTGCTCACTCAAACGCACTTGCTCACAGCCTCACAGGTCCAGACTACGTTTCTCATAAGTCGTGTTTTCCATGACTCCTATGTGTGTGTACCTTGGCTAATTTCCATTTTTATGCCCATACTGTATGTATGTGTACGTGTGTTTACCTACGTGTGTGTGTCCTTGTCACAGGCCCCTCCCCCCTCGTTTGATCCAGTGGGCCTAGTGGAGAACAGGCAGGATGTAAGGCTCAGTTTTGTTGCGGGTGTGGTCCACCCGTGGAAAGTGCCAGCCTTCGAGAGGTTGCTATGGCGAGCCTGCCGCGGTTACATCATCGTGGACTTTCGAGAGATGCAAGAGAAGCTGGAACACCCTGATAGTGTGAGGAGTTTGTCATTAATCAGACTTTTAGCACCTAAAACGTTTAACAATGGGCTTAAAGAGCAGCGCCAGTGACATTCGGCCTCGTTTCTGTGCTTCCTTCGGGGTTCTGGGTTAACAGCTGCTTGCCATTGTGTCTTAATCATTGGTGGATCAACCATGAAAAGTTTCCAAGTTCCAAGTTTCAGGTTTATTTGTCATTTGCACAACATATCAGGACATTCATGCATTGAAATGCTTGTGGTGAGGCACAGCTAAGCACTCTACAGAAAATAAAACTAAGTAAAAATAAAAATACAAGAAAATACTAAACTGAAATATATTAAATATACACAAAATATAGAGACAGGAGGGACATATGTAAGGAGAAAAAAAATCCTCTCTGCTATGTACAAATATATTTATATTAAACAAAAAAAAAGTTTATACAGTTTGAACAACTGTACCATTAGCTGGGAAAGCACTGGCATAGCTGAGTTACCAGTCGCCTGGTAGAAATAATAGCTAAACTAGTTACTTGCATAGACTACAACTGATGCCATTATAGGTAATATTACCTAAAGAAAATGATACTGATTATAAGGCCCGAAACATCCTTCACACACGGACGCAAACGCAGACGCTTCAAGCTACGCAGATTAGGTTTTTGAGCGTAGTTGTGTTGAAAAAAGTGTCATGACGCATTTCATAATCACAGCCAAGCCTGACAAGCGGTCTCGTAGCGCCGGCATGCTTTCACAACTGCCCTAGCAGATAAGCAGTTGAGTCCCACGCAAAGACGACTTAAATAGTCATAAAAAATATCACACATTATCGCATTTCCATTTCAAGAGAAGAGGTAAAGCAGCTCACTCTCCTTTACTGTCCACGTTTAGCTGTTGAGGCTGCTGGAATAGCAGTAGATCCCTCTCTGATTTGCTCTCTAAGGCCCCCTTCAGTGAGTGTTTTAACCAGCACAGTAACGTAAGAACACACAATGAGTTTGTACAGAAGGGCTGAGCGTTTACAGTGCAACGTCACTTGCGTTTGCATCCTTGTGTGAAGTATGTTTCGGGCCTAAGTCTTGCCCCTAGTTAATGTTAATGTCGCAGCACATAAATTCAGTGTATTATTACCTCAAAAAAAATTTTTTCAGAGATAAGCTGGTGAAAAGATGTTACTTTTCAACATTCCTGGAAAAAAAGAACACATGAAGTATAAGAAGCATAAGAACTGTCTGTTTTACAGCCCTGCAGGGAATCTGTGGGTGAGAGAGGAATAGATCTTAACGTTTTTCTGCGCTGATTGTGTCTCAGGGGGAGATGGTGCAGTGGACGGTCTTCCTCATCTCCTACTGGGGGGCTCAGATTGGACAGAAAGTGAAGAAGATTTGTGATTGGTGAGTTTTTAGGTGTTTTGTTTATTTGCAGAAAGCTCTTCTAAATGCAAATAAAAATTTCATGATGATGCACGATTTATCATACCGTGCCCTTCTAAAAGACAACATTCTTGTTTTTCCATGATCTCTACTTGTAATGTACGACTTTCGCCCATCTCTATTACGTCTCTTTACTTGCTTATCCACTTTTTCGGAGCAGAATTACTGGATCTTTTCATCTGTTTGTGGTAACAAAGTAATTAAAACAGCTAAAAAAGAGCTGCATGGATTTCTATGGTAGTGATTTCCTTTTTAAAATAGTTTTCATATATATACTTTAATGACATTTGTCATTTTAGCTTCCACACGCAGATGTTCCCGTATGCAGAGAGCCAGGCAGAGAGAGAGGAGATTCTGACTGGACTGAAAACCAGAATCGAGGACATCAAATCAGTAAGTAAAAAAGCTCCCAGACAGTATAGAACACCTGCTCCGAAGGGCACCACCGCAGTCTCCACTAAACCAGTTAGCTCACTACAGTACACTGATACTTTATGCTTTGTGATGAGGAAAGAATTAGGAAATCAAACCTTTCTCTGTTTCCTCATTTTTGAAAGTGTTTCTCTTTTCTTTAGTGCTTCTTTACTTCTCTTCCTCTCCACGTGCTGCCAGTCCTTTTTTTGTTTCACTCCATTTTTATGAAGTGTGCCAGCAAATATCACAGAACTCCAGCAATTAGCAAGAAAGAAAAAGAAAATCTGTTTACTGAAAACACGTATAATAAAAGCCAGTGGACCTTATTAAGTTATTTACGGTATAATCTGATGCGCGCACACAACTTTCACTGACAGTTATGTTTTTCATCAATTTCCTCTTTCTGTACCCTCAGAATCCTACGCAGTCCTACTCATAGATATACATTCCTAGATGCCGCGTTGTCTGTTGTTCTCTATCTGATGCGATACGTCTGCACGTCCGCCATGTTGGAGAGCTCAAGATCCACTTATAAACAAATTCACTTGTATTGAGAGACGATGAGTCTCAGGATTAAATCAGCCACAACTTCCTTATTACTCAACCGATTTTCACCTAATTTGCTTTGTTATAATCCTCAGACACAGATTAATCCAGGCTGCACTGATCTGCTCTCGGCAGCTTTTATTACTTTAATAACTGATCGTGATAATTAGCCGTCTGGACCAGCAGAAAGTATTAAGTCTGCACCTGACATTAAAAAACAAGTTTAGCGTGAGAAACACAATCAGACACACATCAGCAAATAGATCAATGTGTGAATCACCTCTAATCTTTAAATGCAGAAGGATGGAGCTAAAGTTGGCTTCCTATTCACCACCTTCTTGTTCGGGTTTCCCATTCCACCTTAAATGATGCAGCAGTGACTTTCTGGTGCCTGAAGCAGCACCATTTAAGGTGTAACAGAAAAATTCAAACAAGATGCTGGCTGATGCACCATTTAAGGTGGAACGGGAAGCTGGCAAATAAGAAGCTGACTTCAGGTTCATGTAAGAGGGTGCTGACATTAATCTATTATTAATTTCTACACGGATTAAGGAATGCTATAACTTACCCAGCTACAAAGCTTTAACCAACCCAACGCGGCATCTAGGTATGTATATCTATGCTAATTAACTAGCTAGCTAACTAGAAGTCTTTTGAAAGGGCAAAACAAAATATAGAACTGTTTTTCCTTTTCTGATTATAATCAGAAATCGCTTGGCTGTTACACAGACTGACCCCTTATTTACTCTTAGTCTCAGTCACATGTTCATTTTTATGTTTCGAGGTTAGTTTAGAGTCAGGCTTATGGTCAGATTGGGAATGACAGTAATGGTTAGGGTGCGTCGGGTCAGGCAGTCTCGCTTTCCTAATGATGCTGAAATTGTTTGCTCGTAAAATTGTGCCAATGTAAGTGTTTCTCAACTTCCCATCATTCTTATGAGTGAAGTTTTGAGAGTCAGATAAACAGCTTATTAAACAGCTCTCTCTCTCTCTCTCTCTCTCTCTCTCTCTCTCTCTCTCTCATATAGGTGATGAATGAGACGGAGCAGTACCTGCAGCAGCTGTTAATGCGAGCCGTGGCCGTGTTGCCACAGTGGCGTGTGCGAGTGCAGAAGTGCAAGGCCGTTCAAATGGTGCTGAACCTCTGTAGCCCCTCGGTCACAGAGAAATGTCTCATCGCTGAGGCCTGGTGTCCAGTCAGACAGCTTCCTGCCCTGCAGAGCGCCCTGCGAGAGGGAGGGGTCAGTAATGAACAGTAATGAAATGTTGCCAATAGCAAGCAAGAGCCAGATTATCATGTACATCCGATGATGCTAAGGGGTCCTCTTTGAGTCAGTGAGTGCGTTTACATGCACTTAATAATCTGATAACTCCAGAAAATCAGATTTTGTCAGTAATTAATTTTTTTAAAAAAAGTTTGCGCCACTTTACCTGAAAATATAAACATACATCATCTAGAAGATAAAGAATATTTAAATCATTTATTTCGTGTTTTGTTTCAGCGCCGCTCCAAAAGTGTTTTGCTGCGTCTCATGGCTCGCATATTTCTAGTACCGCGGTCTGTTTTCGCACATACGCAGACTTGAGATATTCGAAAGAAATCAGAGTAAGAGTTGCACTGAGTAATCTGACCCCCCCCCAACCCAGAAGTAAAAGCGGCTTAGAAAGTGTGTGTGTGTGTGTGTGTGTGTGTGTGTTTGTGTGTTTGTGTGTTTGTGTGTGTGTGTGTGTGTGTGTGTGTGTGTGTGTGTGTGTGTGTGTGATCTGATTACTGAGCTTAAATCCAGCTCTCTTTATTGGATTTCTTAATCGGATTTCTAGATCAGAGTATGGTGTTTATGTGACCAGATTATGATCAGATTATTGAGTGCATGGAAATGCACTCATTGTTAGCCAGTTTAGGATATAAGGTTATATTTATATTTAAACGTCCCCTCCTACCTTGGTAGTCTGCTTCAGTTATACTCTCCAGCTCGCACTCTTCGCTCCTCTGATTCACATTTGTTCAAAGTTCCTCCCTCTAAGCTGCGTACTGTTGGGTGGGTGTCTTAAAACCCACCTTTTCCAGATGGCTTTTGGGTGAACCAGTACTGTGATTTTTATTTATTTATTTATTTATTTTTTAAAATGATGTGTATTACGTTTACATATTTCTACATGCTATTTTTATTTCTTTTTAAATTTATTTTATTTTTATTATTATTATTCTTAGTGTATTTGTTTATATCTTTGTTATTTTTATTGTACAGCGTCCTTGGGTGTCTTGAAAGGCGCTTATCAAATAAAATTTTGTTATTATTATTTAATTTGGCCTATTTCTGCTCCCACAGAGGCTTTTTTTGTAGCTGCTTTTGAGAGGTTGGGAACTCCTATTCAACCAATTTTTGTGAAAATACTTACTTTTAGCGTGTGCTATTAATTCATTTTTTTGTACATTTAGATTGGCTGCAGTTTTTGTTGTCCAGTAATTTCTCATTAGGTGGAATGGGATCCATCTTGCGACAAAAACAAATTTCTCTCTCCCTCTCTTTCTCCCCCCCCCAGCGGAAGAGTGGTAGCAGTGTTGAATCGTTCTATAATCGCTTGCCTGCTACCACCTCTCCTCCTACCCTGTTTCCCACCAACGCCTTCACTGCAGGATTCCAGAACATAGTAGACGCTTATGGAGTGGCCAGCTACAGAGAGGTCAACCCAGGTAACTACACAAACACGAGAACACAAGGTGGGGGTTAAGGAGCTACATGGTTTTACCTTGTTTTCTTTTCTCACCTTCTCTTCCTTTTTCTCTTCGTCTCCATAGCTGTGTACACCATCATCACTTTTCCATTCCTGTTCGCTGTGATGTTCGGGGATGTGGGGCATGGCATTATCATGGCATTAGCTGCTCTCTGGATGGTTCTAGAAGAGAAAGACCCTAAACTGAGGAACAACACTAATGAGGTAAAATATGCATATAAACACACACAGGTTTCGTACTTCAGGTTTGGTATATGAAGCAAAAGAACCAGGCTTCTCATTAAACTTCTCATTTTTCTCTGAGTTGTATTACCAAGTATCAGTATTGCAGGTTTTTTTTGTTATTAAGTTGTAAGAAATGTTGCGACATCCACTGAGAAATATCTGACACACAGCTGGTCAGTCTGTCTACAGAGTTTTGATCATCAGAAGGAATCGAAATGGATAATTGCGTGTTTTAAAAACATCTGGAAAAGCACCTGACAGAACAGTTTACAGTAGTTAAGACATCATTTTGAACACAATCAAAAACCATCTTAAGGAATGAAGAAGGAACAGGGTTAAGATCACATGTGGACAAACGTAATTTTGTTTATAACATTTATAAGCTCCTTATGATTGATAACAGAGAATGATGTCAATCGTCAGTGTAGGCGGAAGGCTATAGGAACTTGTTTCAGTCGGCTGAGCTACGCTCTGTCTTATCAAGTGTGTTTTATTTTGAAAATGAACTGCAAACTCTTTGCAGATTTTAGAAGATAAGGCACCATCCGCCACACTAGCAGACAAGTTAGGGTTAATTAGTCGATCTATGGTGGAAAAAAGGACCAAAGTACATTTAGGCCTACGCCTTCCTGATTAGTGTTGTGCAAACATGTTTCAGACCAGTACATCATCATTCAGTTCTCAAAATGTCTGCTTCTACCACTTTCAGTTGTTACGTACTTTTGTACGTCTTACGACTTTAACCCCAGTATTTTTTTGTTGTGTCTTTTTCATTTTTTGCCCCATCTTATGTCCCTTGTAGATATTGGGCAACATTTGTTTGTTTGTTTGTTTGTTTATTTATTTATTGTAAATATACAACTAACATTCTGCATGCTAAAATAAAACAAAAGGAAAAGGACTAGACGGGCATTATATATCACTGTTGTTGGGGAAAAAAAAACCCATCATATCTCCAAAATGCTAACTTCATAAGTAAAGGAAAAAAAACATATTTTGCTTTTAATGTAAATCAATGAAACCAGACTTTTTTGCAAGTCATTTTGGGTTATTTCTTTTAATCCATTCGTCATGAAATTTACAATTTACATACAATGTAAAAGGCAACAGGCAACAGCGATATATATATATATATATATATATCTCCAAAATGGAAAAAACCTACTTTACTTTTAATGTAAATCAGTGGAACCAGACTTTGTACAGTGATAAAATAGACAATATATAAAAGTACTTAAACCGTGTTTTTGTTTTTCTCTTTGTGTGTCAGATCTGGCGTATGCTGTTTGGAGGTCGTTATCTGATTCTGTTGATGGGGCTTTTTTCCATCTACACCGGGGCCATCTATAATGAGTGCTTCAGCAGAGGCCTCAACGTCTTCTCATCTAGCTGGCACGTCCGGCCCAATGCATTGTTTTACAACTGGACGTACGTCACACGCAAACACAGTATCACACTTCTCTCATTACATTGTTTTGTACTACAGTTTGGCACTGTGGAAAAGGTTTGGCACGAATGTAGATACATACTTCTGCACATTTTACTGCACAGTTACTGTTTATTTTCTGAATTTAACATATTGAGGGGAAAAAAACAATGTGGCCTGTGTGAAAGTTATGGCACATTTTAATATTTAATATTTTATGGTACATTTTTCAGTATGTTGAACTCTGCAAATAAATAGAATTTTGCACTAAAATTTGCAGACAAATGGTATATTTTAGTTTGTTCCCAGTAGAGGATGTGCTAACTTGTTAGCTTTTTTCATTTGACTGGTGGTGTTCAAATGTCTGCATATGACTAAGTTTTTGAATAAAATTATCTTTTTTTTTTTTTGTCTTGTTTTTTTTTTTGAAGGGACGAGACTTTTAGAGTTAATAACTTTCTCTCGCTGGATCCAAACGTTACTGGAGTTTTTACTGGACCATATCCTTTCGGCATTGATCCGGTAAATCTTTATCTTACCAGAATGTTGTAAACTTTTTAAGCTTTATTGATGGTTATTTCAGGTGTTCGTATGTGTTATTTTGTTATCCGTTATGCTGAAAGATTTGATGCTGTTTCATGTATCAACTTCATGAAAATATATTAACAGCATTCTTTTGTTCTTACTGTGTGACTGTGAGTGTTAGGTAAACCTACTTTGTACCGACACTTACTGCCATATTATCAATTACACCTACCACATAGGTGCACTTTGCTATATGCAATTAGTGTCACTGCTAGAGTAAAAATAGTCTGTCAACTAAAACAATGAGAGGGTGGCTGGTGTACAGCAACAGTTGGACTACAGTCAGTAATTGTACACCTTTAAAATGTACCTATGTTGTAGGTGTTTCTTATAAAACGACCAATGAGAATACAGTCTTGTGCAAAACTCAGAAACTACTCTTTATTTGTTAAATTAAGTACAAGGAGATTATAGAACCCCATTTTCAAAAAAGTTGGGATGCTATGTAAAATGTAAATAAAAACAGAATGCAAATGATATACAAATCATTCAAACCCTATATTTAATTGAAAATAGTATAAAGACAACATATCAGATGTTGAAACTGAGAAATGTTAATATTTTTTGAAAAATATATGCCCATTTTGAATTTGATGCCAGCAGCATGTTTCACAATAGTTGGGAGGGGGGCATGTTTACCACTGTGTTTCATCACCTGTTATTTCAACAACACTCTGTAATTCTTACTTGATATAGAATTTCAGCTGCTCAACAGTTCAGGGTCTCATATGTCATATTATTAGTTTCATAATGAGCCATATGTTTTCAGTGGTGACAGGTCTGGACTGCAGGCAGGTCAGTTTAGCACCCGGACTCTTTTACTACAGAGCCCTGCTGCTGTAATACATGCGGAATGTAGTTTTATATTGTCTTGCTGAAAGAATCAAAGCCTTCACTGAAAAAGACGTTGTCTGGATGGCAGCATATGTGGCTCCAAAACCTGTGTATATATTGTTTAGCGTTAATGGTGCCTTCACAAATGTGCAGGTCACTCATGCCATGTGCACTAAGGTACCCCCCCATACCATCATGGATGCTGGCTTTTGAACTGAGCACTGATAACAAGCCGGATGATCCCTCTCCTCTTTACCCTGGAGAATGTTGAAATAACCAGTAGGTAGGCTCTGACTTTTGCACAGTACTTTAGGTACAAGACAGGTATACCTAACAAATGGGTATATGAAGTAGGACTGGATTCTGGATATTATTAGTCATTCTTTCTCTATACAGCTCAGTCATATTTGTTTATGATTTGTTTGCTGCTACTTTCATTCTTTCTCTCATTATGTTTTTGAATTTTCTTTGGCTCTAAAATAAGACAGTAAATGGTTTTAGATTTCCCTAAGATAACTCTTCATTTTTACACACAGATATGGGGAATGGCTAATAACCACCTGACATTCCTCAACTCCTATAAGATGAAAATGTCGGTCATCGTCGGTGTCATCCACATGACCTTTGGTGTCTGCCTGTCATTGTTCAACTATGTGTGAGTGCACCTGTGTGTTTACACACCTGCTGTTTTAACCAGGGACTTTTCAATAAAACTGTCTATAAGTCTGTCTATAAGGCTTTGTTCACACAGCAGGTAAAAGTGGCCCAAATCTGATTTTCATATGTGACACAGATGTGTGTCTGTGTGAACAGCAAAAACACACTGAATCACACACTGATATTTTCAATTCCAATTTGAGACGCTTTGATGCGTGATACTGAAATCCGATCGGAATTCATGCGACTTTTACGTCAATACAACTCTGCATTCGTCATCATTTCCCGCTGCTGAGACTCAAAAACATTTGGGATGATATTTCTGTAGAAAAATTAGAAGAGACTCATCCAAAACTCTCCGTGTTCGAAGAGATTTCGAAAGAAATGTCTGAACGCGGCCGCAGGAGACGAGGCTGCAGCGTCGAAGAACAGTTAAAAGGCTGAAAGCAAAGTTTAAAGAGTCAGAGGACGCAAAACGAAGTGACCGCGCCCTTTTTACAGCGAGCTGGGACACATTCTGGGTGATGAGCCCAGGTGTCAGTCAGTGAAGCTTCATGATGGCTCCTGTGATGCTGGTGAAGATGAAGCTGATCCTCCGGGAGCGACTGGCGTTCGTTGGCAGTCGTGATTGTTTACCTCTGGTTGAGCCACCTGAAGCAATGTGATGCTCTGTTCTTTTGTGCATGCGGGTCAGTTTAGGAGCTGATCTGTTCAGACTGATGTCGCATACAGATCACATTTAAAAGATATCAAGAACAGCCCAACGAAAAAAATCTGATTTGGTGAGAATTGTTTCACTTTTACCTGCTGTGTGAACATAGGCTAAAATAATTTGTTGTAACATGAGGTCATATACTCACTGTGTGCGTATGTGTGTCTCCCCCTCTCCCTCTTTCTCTACCTCTCTTTCTGTTTCACTCTCTGTAGGCACTTTGGGGAGATAAGCAGTGTGTTTCTGGTGCTGATTCCTGAGTTGTGTTTCATGCTGTGTTTGTTTGGTTACCTCATCTTCATGGTGATTTTCAAGTGGGTGGTCTATGGTCCTATGCACTCAAACACTGCACCCAGTATTCTCATCCACTTCATAGACATGTTCCTGTTCACAAAGAACGACGAAAACAAACCGCTCTACAATGGCCAGGTTTGTGATATATATCTTCAGGACCTGCATTCGCAAAGCCTCTCAGGGTAGGAGAGCTGATCTAGGATCAGATTCCTCTCTTATTTGCTCTGACTTTACTGATAGGAGCAGATCCTAGATCAGCACTCGTACTCCAAGAAGGTTTGTCAGTACAGGCCCATGTTTTCAGTTTCATCTCAATCTGATTATGAAAGGCAGGAGTCGCTGAACATCTCCATTAAGGGCTGCTTTGGCTGCAGGTATTCATTCCCGTCAAGCAGAAGCACAAATGATTCCACTTGTTTAACCCTTGTGTGGTGTTGAGGTCTCTGGGATCCGTTTTCAGTGTTTACCAAAAGAAAAAATGATGTGATTTTATATTATTTCAACCTCAGATTCTTGGTCTTTCCTCATTTTCTGTGAAGAACAAATAAAATAACCCATTTTCAGTGTCTTCACTCTGTTCACCCCCCACACATTTATATTACACATGTGTTGGGTGAACCTGCGGGGAGTAAAAGTGTGGAGGTGCTGTGTCCTTCACTCTGTTCTCCTACTACATGGCCTGCTGTTAGTGTGTGTGTGTGTGTGTGTGTATATGTGTTTGTATACATGTGTGTGTGTGTGTGTGTGTGAGAGAGAGGGTGGGCAACATGGACAGGCTGCTGACTGGCTTCAGCTGCTAAAGGAGAACCCTACACTGGCCACTTGTGATATTTTAAACATCTGGTATTTTTACATAAATTGTTATGGCTGTATTGATTTAAAAACCCAATAATGTGGTGGGTCCAGCAGACCACTGAATAACAACAACATCAACACCACACAAGGGATAAATGTAAATGCATCTAAACGATTCAGTTGGGTTATGGAGCAGTGATGCAGATTTCTTTTGCTCATATTTACGCAGTTAAGCAGTTGGGCTCATTCTTTAAATGTTTGATTGGTTATAGGAGGTGTCCTCCTGCTTGGTTGGAATGAAAACCTGCAGCCACACCTTCCCTTTACAGATAAAACTTGTGACCCCTGATCAAGGGTGCCAGTAATTATGGAAAGTAATTTAATGATAAATTAATGTAAATTAACTTTTCTTTTACGTTATTGAGATGTAAGTAAGAATGCTGCGATTAGAAAGGCTAATGATACACATTGTTCTATTCAGTATCGTATTTAGTCTCATTTTAAGTTAGCTTTTGAGGTGTATCGGTAGTTTTAGTCATAGTACTGGTTGGGTGGTTGAGTTCAAGCAGTTTGAGCCTTTTAATTATATTGATGTATTAGTAAAGTTGTGCAGATGTTTGCTGTGAAAATTGTTTTCTTGTGAATGTTTGCCAGCCAGATAAAGATCTTAACCTTCTCTCTCTCTCTCATGCTCTCTTTAGTTGACTGTACAGATGATTCTGGTGATTGTAGCTTTGTGCTCAGTTCCTGTGCTTCTGCTGGGGAAGCCCATCCATGAGTACATCACATACAGGCGAAAGAGACACCAACCCACTGTAAGAGTTTTTGCATATGTGTGTATGTACGATTGGACTTTGTGTCAGAGCCGGTTTATGAGGAGCCTGGCTGCTTCCTATTTCCCCTGTTATATCAAAACAGGACTGCAAAACAGCAGAGGGCGCCGGCGAGCAAGTCCTCAGTGAATGGGAGTGAATGGAGCTCAATCGCTAAAAACGAAAAGTTAAAATAGTTTCTAATCACTCGCCCAGAACTTTCCTTTAATTTTAGAAAGTAGAAGGATGTATTTCACTAAAAATCAAAGATAACATACATATGTATGTCCTTTTTCTTCTACAGCAAACGGGTTTTAGACAGCAGGACGCTGGCATTACTGCTACTGAGTGCTGATTGGCTCCTATAGCTCAAGTTTAAAAGCTCTTAAAAATATAACAGCAGTGTTAAAATGTTTTATGCTGTTCTGTGTTCAGAAAATGATTGTATTCTTTTTCATTAAACATGTTTAAGCATTTATAAACTATGATTTTGCTCAAATGCTCCATGTTATCCCATTCATTTTTGAACTCACTCGGGAGTGTTTAAGAAACCCGGAAGACATTACAGAGTAGTAATACTCCTCTCTACAAGTTCTCTGTTTGTGTGTGTCTGTGTTTTGACTACGCTCTCTTATTCCTCAGGGTGAAAGGCGCCCTCTGCTGACAGAAAATGGCTCCATAAACACTCAGCAGGGAGAAGTGGAGACGAGAGAAGAGGAGGAGGTGAGTGGAGAAGGCAGAACAGGGTGGGGATTGGATTGGATGGAATAGGAGAACACATTTCCTATCAGTTTAGTAATTTAACAAGATCAGTTTTCAGGTTTCAGATATTTCTGGGGCAGAGTTTCAATGAGAATTTTGTTCAGAGCTTTAATTGTACAATACACGTTTGTTTGGCTCAAGTAGTTCTCAGAATGATCTTTTACAGTAGTCTGTCTCACCAGACCTTTAACAAAATAAGCCCTAAAAGAGTCTCAACCTCCAGGTCACAACACTCAATGGCTTCTTCAGAAATTGCTGCTTTTGCTTCTCCGGGTTAACAAAAATGTTTCAAAACTGATATATATGAATGTCACTGGATCCTCTGAGTTAGGAGATGGCTAAGGAGTCGAAATAGGAATATTGCTACATGCAAGCTAACACTGCGGTGCATTAAATTGATAAAAAAAAGCGTTCTTAATATGCCATGATGCACGATGCCAACTACTCTAAACTTAAATTAGTTGCCCTCTCTTAACAAAATCAAACTTACTGGCACAAACATTAGGTAAAGTAACAGCTTATCAAGCCTAAAACACTTTATATTTAAATTATAGTTACATTTACACTTCTACAGAAAGTAAGATGAACTCAAACAGCCCAGTAATTTTAAATGGTTTCAGTTAAGCTTGCAGTACTCTACTCTTTTGAGTTGTGTTTAATATTTTGTTAGGTTAACTTGAATCAGCATAGTTAGATTGATCTCTCATTTAATAGCACTTTGCTGTAAATATTCATCTTTGTGCAGTGCATTGGTATCAGCTGTGAAACAGCTCTGTCATTTTAAGTGCATTTTTTCATGCAGTAATGAACAAATGGCTGCATATCCAGTGGCTTTGTGTTGTCTCATCCACTTCTTCATAGAGTATTGATAAGGTGGGTAAGTCCTCAAGATTTGCCCATTTTTAAGAGCTCAAATTGTTTGAAGTGCTATTGCAATTCTGTTCAGAAACTGCTTGGGCTTGGTACTCACCTGATACCGGTCTTGGCTATAGGGCAAACTGGTAAACCTGAACACAAAACACTATAATGGTGACAACAATAAAAGCATGTAAAATGCATCTAAATTAGCATGAGAATATGCTACGGCTCAAAAAATAACATTATGCGAAAGACCTTAATGAAAAATGAGGAAAAAAATAATAGAAAACAATAAAACCAGCTAGGAAATGCTGAGAAGCTTTTTGGGCCGAACACTTTTCAGTCTGTAGGACTCCAAATTAATTGATCTTAACTAGATTTACCGAAGTAGCTGAGGCTTTACACAAGAAATAGTACATGTTACTAGATTTTAGTCGGCAAGTTTAACCATTACAGCTGGTTTGACTGTTTAAACTAGTACTGACCTTTGTTTTTTTTTACTGCAATTCAGCTTCATGTGTCAGATAAAAACCTTGTATCTCTTATATGCTGTGTGACATCATGAGTAAAGTAATTATGTTTTACAGTGTACAGAATAACCCCTTTCTTCCCACTTCACTCTGATAGTATGTACCCAGATGTCTAGTTCTGATACTCAAAAAACTGAAAATGAGAGTGGGACATATTGGCAATACAGTTTTGACCTGTAACGGGCAAACATGTAGTTAACGTCTAGCCTTCATAACTTCAGAACAGTTTAAGATGCATACCTGATGTCCATATCAGACCATTTAGCAAACCTGGCCCTAACTAGCTAGCATGACGTCATCGAGCTGTGACATCAGCATCAGTGAGTAATTCGGCTCTGAAAATCACAGAAAATCTTGATATTATTGCTGTTTTTTGGCCTTTATATTCCAACAAAGGTTTAAAACGGCGACATGATTCACACATCAGATCACTCACCAGACTCTGCCTCACCATCCAGAGTGATTTAATCCACCTGTGACCATCAATCAGCCAGCAATCCAGCTCCAAAATCATCCACAACCCACTCGCTACTGTTATATTACATCTCTGCTTTTAGCCTTCATATTATAAACAAAGGGTTAAACAAGCGACATGATATACACACCAGAACACTCAGCAGAACCTGCCAGAGTGAGAGAAACCAGCTCTAACATCACACAACCCAGAAATACAGCACCAACACAGCCAGATCACTGTAAAACCTGCTATTAGCTCTCTGCTTTAGCCTTCATCTGGCAACAAAAGGGTTCAATAACCAACACTTTTCCTAACATCTCTAAACTATTTTCAGGAAACAAAAATTGGAAGTCATTATGTAACGCTGCTTTTAAATTGGGAAATAAAATGCCATCCTATAGAATACATGTGTCTCAAAACTCAACACCATCAGCAGCAGTTTCAGTCAAGATGCTTTTTGTATGTTTTGCAGTGTTGCCTCATTCATTCTTCTGAACCTCTCTATCTCTTCTCTCTTGCCTTGTTGTTCAGCAGGAGTTTGATGGAGCCAATGTTTTCATGCACCAGGCTATCCACACCATAGAGTACTGCCTGGGCTGCATTTCCAACACTGCTTCATACTTGCGTCTGTGGGCTCTCAGTCTGGCTCATGCCCGTGAGTGCCCATATTTAGCAATCAGAATCTGATCTAGGATGAGCGCCTAGTCTGTACTATTGAATTTTCAAAGGCTTGGGAATTGTAACAAGGCTGTGTTAAAGGATTATACATATTTTTATGAAAAACAGATTTTTCCAATGTTAAGATATTTTTTGAATGATTTTAGTGTTTTTGTGATGCACATTATTCTAAAGTAAGACAAAACGCACAAATTAAAATGACCTCCTATCTATTTATACAGCTAATTAACTGATGCAGTTAATACTGCTGTGCTACTATTCCCATCTTATGATGAAGAAAAGAATGCATGTAATCAATGTAAACGCTGGCTTGAATGTTCAAGCTAGTGCAGACTGCCTTTACACTGTTTTCCACAGCAGTTCAGCTTCCATGTATCATATAAAACCTTGTATCTCATATATGCTGTCATTTTAAAAAATGTCATTTAAAAAGTGTAATTTAATTAAAAGAAGGTTATTTCCTTCTCCTGAAAAGCTACTATTTTGGAGAAGCAAGGTTTTGTTCCAGTAATTATACTAACACTAGCTGCCAAGCTCTTCACATGCATTTCACAATAAAGGCACCAGATTTATTAAAAAAAAAAAACAACTTTTAAAAACTGAAGGGGAAAAAGATGTGTCATTTGAGGGAAAACAGCTGAGTGTATACAAATTAGTGCCCAACATGTTAATGATTGGCAGCTGAGTTGGTGTTTACTGTGTTCTTTATAGAGCTGTCGGAGGTGCTGTGGGTGATGGTGATGCGGTTCTCCTTCAGAAATACGGATTACGTGGGAAGTGTCATCATGGCTGTTGTATTTGCATTTTTTGCTGTCCTGACAGTTTCTATCCTGCTCGTCATGGAAGGGCTCTCTGCTTTTCTCCATGCTTTGCGACTTCACTGGTAAGACAAACAGACATGCACCCAATGTAACAATGGTAATAACCTTGAGTAGGGCTGGGCGATAAAATGATAACAATAATTATCGCAATGTAACTTTCCTCAATAAAAACATTAGAAATGTTTAATAAATGTTCGATATAATAGACCATTTTCGCACTTCAGCGACAGCCCTGGTGGCATTTTCTACAGCAAGGAAGGTGACACTGCTCCTTCGCCAAATATACTTTAACAATGTCTGAAACGTGGAGATATATATTCAAACTCACCTCTTTCCTAACATCCTAACAAGCTTTAGCAGTGTTAAATCATGTCTGCTCCTCAGAACTACAGCACTGTTACAGCGCTCAGTCAGCCATACTTTAGTGTTGCATTCCCAAGCAACAAAGTGAACGCTGTAAATGTGGTGTTAGGGAGTGGGAGAAGGCTGTCTTCCCAGGCTAGCTGTTTTTAAGCAGCTGGCTAACTTGAAGCAGCGCTCCGTCACTCACACAGCACGGCGAATATTCAGTACTGTAGATCAAACAGGACCGATTTTGGTTAAAACGTACCTAAAAGGAGGACTCTGTTTGTCTGGTGTGAGAGAATCACACTCACAGTGAGCGTCAGATGTACTGCGGTTCACCCTCAAACTACTGCAACAGAATAGAGAAGTCCAGACGTCGCTAGCTGGTGTCTGAATACTGTGATATGCTCTGACATGGATGTGGTAGGAGTGACGGCAGTAAGGCTGTATGATCCATCACTGACCTACCGAACCAGCTAATGTTTGCTGTTTGTATTAAGCTGACGTTGATTAACTAAACAGTTTAGCTCTCGTCACAGCTAAAAATAATGTTTTCATTCTTAAATTGTGCATATTACAAAAATTGCAGCCGTGCTTTTCCAGCTGGCAAAGACAGCCGACCAGAAACTTTCTCCCACTGTCCCGTGACAGATCTGTGAAATGTTCCACTGTTTGCCGAGTGTTTGTCGTGTTCTGACCATAAAGAATAGTTTAAAACAGCAATTAACCACTCAGGACCAAAAATCAGCCTTCAAACCTGAAAGAAATAATGAATTTTACATTTTTCACGATATGTATCGATATAGACTGAAATGAATTTTTTTATCGTGATAACATTCTTGGCCATATCGCCCAGCCCTAACCTTAAGCATGTATTTACTTCTTTGCCCCTTTTAAGTCTTAACAGACACTAATCTCTCTCTCTTTCTCTCTCTCACTCCATCTGCCCAGGGTGGAATTTCAGAACAAATTCTACAGTGGAACCGGCTACAAGCTCACTCCATTTGCGTTCAAGTCTATAATCAGCATCTCTGCAGCTAACTGACGGTCAATATCAAATAACTGTTATTAGAGTCTGTAAATCGCAAATAATGTATTTTAACCTGAACATTTCAAACATGGCAATGTTGCAGTCATCAGGAATCTGCTTGTCATCATGGGAGTCTAAGGTGTAACATCTTTTAAGTCTTTGTGATGGTGGAAGGTACCGTATGCTGCTCTTTATGAATTGTTTTTCCGTATAAACAAAATCATATTGTTCTGGAACCACGATACACATTATGCATTCCACAGAGTTCATTCAAGTACAATGAGCGCTGAGTGTAACTCAGGGATATTTTATCCATGTGCAAGATTGTCCTGACTTGTCTGTGTGTAGCAGTAAGGTTTTCAGGGAACTTAAAACAGGCCAAAAGGAATGCTTTTGATCAAGTTAGATGATTTTTTTTTTTTACTCTTAAAAACAGTAATCAGTGAATAGAAAATTCTTTGTATGATTCATAAAGGGATTTATTTCTTGTCAGCTATGGCAAATCTTTTACATTAGCTGATTCAGTGTCTTGCATGAAATGTATTTTAATTAAGCTCAACTTGCTTTACCAATGAAATTGGATTTGTCAATGAATCAAGAATGTGAGGCTGAAATAAAAGCCAACTTTCAAGACTTGTCTGTTATTTGTCTGTGTGAAATATCGCTCACTGCTTTAAGGAGACAGTGAATGTGGCAACCTATGCACCTGCTTTTAAACACAGGATGAAACAAGGACCACGCAGGGGTTTAATGAGTGGCTAATGGTGTAAACTGTCTGTGTTCATACATCTAATCCAAATTAAGGAGATATTTTCCCCCTAAAAGAGAATTTACTATCTTGGTTCGTTGTTTAGATACATTTAACACTGGCAGTTTAATCCTAATGATTAAACTCATAACAGAAGCCAGACATAACGCTTTAATGCGTGTTTATTTTTGTTTTTCTCAAAACGGACTACAAAGTATGTCGCGTAGATTGCGTCACCGCTGCGCATCCACGAAGCGAGCCGGCGCCAAATCATGGGTTTTGTAGTTCTAGTGCATTTTAACCTTTGCAGTTTTGCTTACCAAAAGATCCGGCTGTAATATTAGTATTAATTAGTATTAATGTATATATAGTATTAATATAAGTCCTCAATGAATGGGGATGCTAAAAAAGTTTCTAACCATTTGTCCAGGATTTTCCTTTAACTTTGGAAAAAACGAAGGAAGTATTTCACACAAAAAAGCAGAACTTACCTGTATATTTCTCTCTTTTTTTTTACAACAAGCGGGTTTTGAGGCGTTGGCATTACTGCTATTGCTTGTATCGGTATAAAAAAAAAAGATTTAGTTATTTCATATAAAATATTTTGAATGAAAGGCGATTCACAGTGTTTTGAATGCAACCAGCAGGTGGCGCAGCTCTGCACTTCCCCCTGCATAAAATCTGTGATAAAATCACAGAACTCCGGTTTTCTCAGACGCTAGAGGGCGCTCCCGAGCGAGTCCAAAATGAATGGGTTGATACGGAGCATTTGATCAAAATCATAGTTTATAAATGCTGAAACATTTTTAATGTAAAAGAATACAATCATTTCCTGAACACAGCATAAAAGCAGCATAAAACATTTAAACACTACTGTTATATTTTTAAGAGCTTTTAAACTCGAGCTATAGGAGTTTAAACCGGCGCCTCATGTAGGTCCACGACGTCAGTGAGCGCGTACAGCCAATGAGCTGCTCCGCTCGCCAATCAATCATCACGCTCTAGTAGTAAAGCCCGCCTTCTGCTGCCCAAAACCCGTTTGCTGTAGAGAAAAGGAAACATACAGGAGAGATTTCTTTGTTTTTTTTTTTAGTGAAATTCATCCTTCTACTTTCTAAAATTAAAGGAAAGTTCTGGTTCAGTAATTAGAAACTATTTTAACTGTTCGTTTTTAGCCGTTGAGCTCCATTCACTCCCATTCATTGAGGACTCGCTCGCGGGCGCCCTCTGCTGTTTATCAGTCCGGTTTTTGATATAGGGGGGGTGGGATATGAAGTGGCCGGACTCCTCATAATCCGGCTCTGGTAAAAGGCGAAGTCTAATATTTTATTTTTACTAACAGTGGCTCTAAAACGCCGTCGTAGACAGAACCAGAGAACTTGTAGAGCTAAACCGGCTCTGATAGAACTCTCTGGTGACGACACTGCGCGGGTAACGTGATGACGTAGTGGCGCGCGGTTTGTAAGTTTCCAAGTCAGTTTACTGACCGGTTTTCGGTAAATATTCTCCTCTTTGTTAGATATTTAGTTACATAGATACAAGACAAATACCAGCATGGGGCAAGAGTTTCATGTGTTGAGGTGTTTCTCTTGTCAAACCTTTCAAGTACAACAGGTAAGAGCGAACTATCTGGGTTTTTGTTAGCGGTTAGCTTGTCTAATAACGAACTGATGTAGCCGCGTCCCAAATCGCGTACTAGCACACTAAATAGTGTGTACAAATGGCGCATATAGCGTTGTAAGTGCACTCATTAGTGTAGTGTGTGAAGTACAAAAGTGTGTGGTTTGGGACGCGGTGCGTGTTTAACTGAAGTTAGCGAACCCTGCACTAAGTTACACATTTATTTACATTTTTATTTTTATAAATAGTGTCTTTGACGTTGTCCAGCTGGTCAACAAGCAATAAGTCCACTGTAAAGAATTATCTTTAATGAACTGCCTTTAATGTTAACGTTATATGTACAGTGAAGTACTCAGTCACAGTGTTTATCTGTTTAAAGCAACAATATCAAAAGTGAATTCCACCCATTTTCCCCATATTCAAAACTCTTAATAATTAAATGGTTAAGGTTTAAGATTTTCCTGCTCCCATGTCGGGCAAACCTGTCTGCTTTCTCTGGAACGAGGGAGCCTTTAGCTGTCTACTCACTACAGTGGGTGAGGATGATGTTCTCTTGGCAGCTTGTTTGCCAAATGTGTTTGCCAAGAGTTTAGATTGCCTCATTTAACATGTTTCATAAGCTCATGTCTCATGTGACCCTGGATGTGGTGATAATGGTTTATTACTGCTTGGCGTGGCCTATCTCTTTAAAGGGGAACTCCACCAACATTTAAAAAATTCCACATGATTAAATGGTTGAAATGTAAACAAAGTCATTCAGGGTGGTTTGGAGTGAAATGTTCCATTCTAGAGAAAATGATCAAATCAGAATTGTTCACAGTGGTGGTGATAGGAACCAGACGTCCACCTCTAAAAGCTCCCGCACAGAAAGTTATTACATGAAATGGTTATAAATACACTGGTTGATGTTTGACAAATTTTTTTTATGATAGTTTCGTGATGAAGTTTTGGCTTTGGTGTATTTTAATCCATTCATTATTATCCATTCATGGTGGAGGAGTAGATGCAGGGTGTTGTAAGGCAAAATAGTCCCCAAAGAAAACATATTTTCCCAGATTTATGAATATTTCACCATCATCAACATTACATATAGAAGCATGTTACAAATAAAAGACGTGTGGGTTCACTGGTGAGTTTGGATTGTAAATAAAATGGCCATATTTGTGTTGTAGACATCTCAACCCCTGGTTCCTATCACAACCACTGTAAAGAAATCTCTCTGTAAGTTTCCCTACAGTGAACCATTTCACATCAGACAACTCTAGATGACTCTATTTACATCTCAATGACTGATTTATTAAGAAATTTTGAAGAATTGGTGGAATTTAAGAAGTACAGCAGCCGCTTTATGTAGGAAAGTTTTTCACTGTTTACCAGAAGACGAATTTAAGAACGACAACAGTGAAGTAGTGGGGTTCCACCCATTTGTCAATCAGTCTTCTTAATTAAATTGGTAAGATGTAAACTAAGGCATTCAGACATGTTTGTGGTGAAATGCTCTGTTCTATAGAAGCCAAAGTCGAAAAGTATTTCTCAGTAGTGGTGTTAGGAACTAGACGTCTGAAGTGTTTGATGCCTTTAAAAGCAGAAGTTATTACATGAGATGGTCACCAGTATGCTGCGTGATGCCTGAGGCATTGTTTTATAGTACTTTTGAGAAGGTTTTTGGTTTAAAATATGTTTTAATCCATTCAGGGTGGAAATATGCATGCAGGGTATTGTGAGACAAAGTTGTCTTTCCTTCTCCAAGCCCTGCCAAACCTGTCTGCTGTGCTTGGATTGCCTTATTTAGCATGTTTTATTAGCTCAGGTATCATATGACCCTGAATGTGGTGTAGGTGGCCATCAGGGTTTATTACTGCTTGGCTTGGCCTTTTGAATGTCCAGCAGCCGATTTGTGTAAGAGTGGTTGGACCCAGGAAAGTTTTTCAGACTTTTTCAGGTGACAGGCTTAAACCACGACAACAACTCTTTCACAGCTTTCCAAAGGTCCTCTCCAAAGCTTATAAAAAGACGCTGGTGCCAAACTGTCTGTGTGGCCGTAAGAATATGAAGCATTGTGTTGTTAAACAAAGATCTTATTGACAGAGACAGACTGTACACTGTGCTTACCGTCTGAGAATTGTAATTTTGCAGGTCATCTGTGGTAGGCCAGGAAATTACCCAATTACAGCAGCTAGGGACATCAAGCTGCTTAGCAACAACAGGATTAAATGCTGAATTGTTTGCCTTACAGGTCAAAAAGAGCAAAAAATGGAGTTGCAAGATGTGTGGGGAAAAGCAGTCTCTCATAAAGGTAAGAGTAACCTATTGCATTACACTGGGGAAGCACAGATACATGTGTATGTGTATTTCTTTACAGTGGCTCCATTGAAAGTGCACACCCCCATCACCATCAACGGAGCCACTGTAGAGAGGGTCAGCAGCTTTAAGTTCCTCGGTGTTCACATCTCAGAGGAACTGAGATGGACTGAACACTCTACACGGGTGGTAAAGAAGGCACAACAGCGCCTCTTTCGTCTCGGGTGGCTGAGGAGGTTTGGCATGAATCCCCGCACCGTGTACTGTGGAGAGGCTCCATCATGGCCTGGTATGGGAACTGCACTGCCATCGAGCGGAAAGCTCTGCAGAGGGTGGTGCGGACAGCCCAGCACATCATCGGGGTCCAGCTTCCAAACCTCCTGGGTTTATGCACCAGCCGCTGCCTGAGGAAGACCAAAAGGATTCTAAAGGACTCCACCCACCCAAGCCACTGTCTGTTCTCACAGCTGCCGAGCGGGAGGAGGCACAGAAGCATAAAGTCCAGAACCAGCCGGTTCCCCTTCTTCCCCCGGGTCATCAGGCTGCTGAACAGCCAGTAGTTCTTGTGTATCGGTCAGAAGGCCTGTGACTACAACTCTGAGTCAACACACCTTCACACCTGTGTAATGTGATATGACAAACTTGATTTGATTTAATTTATAATTCTGTATTTTGGTTCTTACAGGAATATGGCAGAGGAACAGGTGCCGATTGTAGGCGCCATGTACAGAAGTTGAATTCACTGCGTGGGGAGCTGCTACAGGTTGAAAATGAAAGAGCCTGGACACAGTGGTAAGCAGATTGTTTAAATCAAGGATATTCTTGGATTAGTGAAGCTCCAAAACACTGTGAAAATATTTAGACTCCCACAGTGGAGTAAATTCATAAATAAGATTTTTGTAATCTTTGTTAACGTGACCACAGGTTCTCTTTAAATGCTGCGGTATAGCCTAAAGAAACTTTTATCAAACTTCTGACCATGTTTTCCACTTTTAAAGGGAGAAAGAGGATCATGAAGATGAGGACAGCTTTGGCGAGGAAGCTCAAAGCTGTGAGCAACAGGTATAGCTTTTTTGTGGTTCTTCTTCAGGCTCTTTTAACCCATGTGTGGTGTTGGGGTCTGTGGGACCCATTTTCAGTGTTTACAAAAAGAAAAAATGATGAGATTTATTATTATTTCAACCCCAGATTTCTTGGCCTTTGCTCATTTTGTGTAAAGAACATATAAAATAACCCATTTTCAGTGACTTCACTCTGTTCACCCCCCACACATTTATATTGCACATGTGGTGTTGGCTGAACCCACTGAGAGAAAAAATGTGGAGGTGCTGTGTCCTTCACTCTGTTCTCCTCCTACATGGCCTGCTGTTAGTGTGTGTATGTGTGTGTGAGGGTGGACAACATGGACAGGCTGCTGACTGGCTACAGCTGCTAAAGGAGAACCCTACGCTGGACACTTGTGATATTTTAAACGTCTGGTATTTTTCATAAATTGTTATGGCTGTATTGATTTAAAAACAATAATGTGGTGGGTCCAGCAGACCACTGAGTAACAAACACATCAACACCACACAAGGGGTAAATATAAATGCATCTAAACGATTTAGTTGGGTTATGGAGCAGTGATGCAGATTTCTTTTGCTCATATTTACCACCACCGTTCTAGGATGAGGTGCAAGTTGTAAGCCGCTGGAGTAAATATGTTGATCAGACAGGCAGCGGGCCAGGAGAGGAAGAGGAGGAGGAGGAAGAAAACGTTTACACAGAGAGAGCGAGGTTCAGGAGTCGTGATGAAATCAGGTCAGTCGATTGGCTTTGTAGTCAGAAGTCATAATTACAGAACAGTCTCTGCTCAGCAACTACAAGAGATAGTAACAGCATTACGCATGAAGTAAATCAGATTACTGTTTGATCTGAACAGGAGTCAAATATATTTTAGATGAAAAGACAAGTGATCTGATATTCACTGTTGCTGTTCCCATAAACTTCCCAGCAGAAAGAGGAAGAAAGGCTTCACCTCAAAAGATGCTTCTGGGCATTACACAGTTTCTGAGGATGATGACCCTGGTACTGACCCTGCTCACTGGAGGGCCAAGGGAATACCATTTCAGGTGAGGGTAGTCTGTAGGTGTACAGTTGGTGACATATGCACACCAGTGTTGTTGCTCATCAGACTATTGTTCATACATATTTTGAGTTATATCATGTACTGCTGCAAAAACATCTCAAAAGCATTACTGTTTATTAATATGAGGTTAATAAGATGGTTAATAAAGTTTTTTATTATTATGTGATGTGCTTCTGCTTGTTTGCAATGAAAACTTGCAGGCACACTGGCCCTTTGCAGATAAGACTGACCCCTGCCTCCTAACTTATGAGCATGCCTGTGAGCATAAACCACATCCAATGTTAATTCTTCATCTTCTGGGTTTAGTTTAGTCTTTATCCAAAATGACATTAAACATACCTGAAAGGTTTAAAATGAGTACCGTTTGGACAGGGATTAGTTTTCCTTGGAGAGTAGGGTTAATGTAATTTTACCACAGGACATCTGTAATGTTTATGGCTTATTTGCATCGGATAAGAGAGCTGAATATAAGTTACAGGAATGGGAGTTTACGTTTGATTCATGCACTGCCTTTATTCCAAAAAAAGGGTAGAAAACATCAAAACATTTTAGCTGTTTTACCCTAACCATCTACCTAGTTATACCTAGGAATTTACAGCCAACTATCAGCATAAAAAAAACCTTTTCTGTCAGATTGCATGTTTTAAAGGGCCCATATCCTACATTTTTCTTTCATTTTATATAGTTTGGGTCAAAAACAGTCACATTTATTTTTTTACATGACCATTTTCCAACCTCTCCTTATCTCTTAGAATTAAACAGGCTGCATTTGTTACTGTGCCTTCAAGACTGATATATGTAATTGGCTTCTGTTCGGCTTGGCTGCTCTTTATTGTGCCTGATTGAAAAAGCAGTCCAGATTGAAACAATCAGTATAACTTCAGCATGAATTGGCGGAGTCCAACCGCTGTAGATTGCATTTGTGGATATATGTAAATGTGTTTTTCATGACATCACAAAAACAATGCATCTAAAAACTGGCTATTTTCGCAGCTTTGTTTTCATGTGTGGACTGTACGCACTGGGGAGTGAGCGGTATGTTTTGAAACTTTAACAGTGTTCACACACCACATCAAACTCTTATTCCAGAAAAACAGAGGAAATTTAGTTCTACATGATAGAGGACCTTTAATGTTTGGAGTCACACTCATAGGACAATATGTATTGGCTTGATTTGAGCCACCGAGGACACAAGTAAATACTTCTTTGAGTGCATCTATAGTTAAGAAAAACTGTGAAAACTCCTCATCACAGAATATAATAGCGTTTTAGCAACATGTCAATTTGCGCAGGCTCAATATGGCTCACAGATAAAGGGAGTCTTTACTAATGTGGGAGTGTGTGGTCTATAAAAATGACTCACGTAGGGGATTCACACGGGACTAAAAGTACTGAGAACCGGTGGTAAAGTTTACATGACCCAACCTCCTGTGTAAACAAATCCTGTCCAAATAGTGCTTTAGTAACCAACAAAGTTTTTAGTCATTTTAGTTCATTTTTAGTTTACTTTTTGATCTGATTCTCCTTTTATTTTGATTTGATTTTATTAACCTTTTACATAGCTACGTTTTAATTATTGTTTTATATTTTTTACTGTATTTTTTATGTATTTTTACTATTAATGTTTCTTTTTTATACTTACCTGACTTGAGTCATTTCTTTTATTAAATTTACTTTTATTATTTGATATGTTTTTATACATTATCAGTCCCTTTTCCTGTATCAACTCGGCAGCATTGTAAATTAGGGTCACCCTCAAAGTTCTCCGAGGTTAAATAAAGGTTAATTGATTGATTTGAAGTTAAAAATATCTGAGGTACTTGTGTATTCCCACCAACACAGTACTGGAACTAGACAGATTAGTCTTTAATAATAGGAGTATTGACTAATTTGAGTACAAGTGGTTGGTACTTATTCTAAAATGAACGCTTTGCTTTTATTATTTCAGGCACATCAACGTGGTGGCTCATTCAAATCATCACCTGTAGATGGAAGTTCCTCCAGACTGTCTCCATTCACTAGCACAAACTCCAAAACAGCAACTTCATATATTTGTGATTCTCCTGCTACATCACCGAGCTTTAAACACACTGGAGTGTACAGTGGCTTAAATGCTACTGGTGGATTTGGCATTGGAACAAATAAGAAACCTTCTGCTGAGTTAACCACCAGGCATCTTCCTTCAGTGCCTGCAAGTACTTCCTCTGCACCCTCATCCTCTCATCAGAGGACCAGTGGAACTAGGCTGGAAGCTGAAGGCTCCAAATGGACTAGATTCCTTACTTCTGTGTCTGCTGAAGAGGACAAAGACGAGCTAGAGGATGTTGATTATGCTCAAATGAGTTCTGGGGTAACTGTTGCTGAAGTAGCCCACTCACCATCAGCCCCGATTCCTGTACCCAGACCCAGAAGCATGGGTCATCCAAGCAGAGAAGAAAGTGCTTGTGCAAGAGCTCCACTGAACGACGTGCTTGGCCCAGGCAACAGGAGCCCTACAAGAGTTTTCGAGAAACTGAGCCACTATAAGGCTGGGATTGCCTCTAGTAGTCCTTCAACTTTTACATCAAAACCTGCAGGCTCTCAGAGCCCTGTATGTCTTCAGCTCCCGCCTGCCAAAAGACCGTGTCCTGCCCTTTCTTTTACCACATTGTTCCATACAGATGAGGACTTTGATGATGCACTTTAATCTGGTACCATTTACTCAGAGGCCTTTAAAGTTCCTGGGACATACCAACTATAAACATTGATGAAATACTATTAATAATTAACTGTGTTTTCAGAAGGTTTTAAACTGAATATAAACCTTTATATACAGATCAGGCATAACATTATGACACATCCTTGTTTCTACGCTCATTGTCCATTTTATCAGCTCCACTTACTATATAGGTGCACTTTGTAGTTCTACAGTTACAGACTGTAGTCCATCTGTTTCTCTGATACTTTGTTAGCCCCCTTTTGCCCTGTTCTTCAGTGGTCAGGACCCCCATGGACCTCCACAGAGCAGGTACTATTTGAGTGGTGGATCATTCTCAGCACTGCAGTAACACTGACGTGGTGGTGGTGTGTTAGTGTGTGTTGTGCTGGTACGAGTGGATCAGACACAGCAGTGCTCTTGGAGTTTTTAAACACTGGTCTTAATGTTCTGCCTGATTGGTGTATAATAAAACGAACAGACAGTTTTGCAGATAGATTGTTTTATTTGACAGAGACAGGGCAAGAAACAGTCAAAGTAAAGAATATAGTAATAGTTCCTATTCATTGTGACTAACAAAAATACTCAAGATTTTTTTTTTCAAAATGTCTTGCTAGGGTAAAAGGCATCTTAAAACAATGATTGCATTAGATATGCACAGGAACATTTTTCACAGACATCTTTTTGAATTTCTTAATAGTTACCAATTTAAGAAGCAAGTCATATCTGTATTCTATTTGTATAAAACGACATACCCAACATGATTCTTACTGACATTTGTATTCATATGTTTTAAGTGCCAAGTTAATCTTGTCAAAGACATACATTGATAATAAATGTTAGAAATCAGTGTTACGGAAAATGCCTGAGTAATTTATATTGCCAACAGTATGAAAGGAATCAGTTATATATTCAGGAAAGGCAGACTTGGTTGAGATTGCTAAAGTGTTAGCATGGGGTTTTCAAATAATTTGCAGTAATTGTGACCCCCTTTTTTCTAAGCCCTTGCTCTGCCATTTCACTTCCGTGGGCCAGGTGGTTTGGAGTACTGGATGGCATCCAAAGCAGAGCCGATGTCGTAATTCTTGGTGTGGAGCAGCCTGGTAAGCCAGCCTCCTTCATCTGTGAAGCCCATGGACAGCATCTGGGACAGAGACTCCACCAGCCGAGGGTCTGCGTCTGAGAAGGGAGGATAAGAGGGCAGTGTTGTGAGTAAGAGTTTGGTTATCGGAGTATCTGTAGGATATGAGGTCATGCAAAAGCTCAAACAAATGCAAGACAGACAATGCGGAGAACAAACAAACAGAACTATACATTTCCTTTTGTAGCCTGGGTAGTGTTTTGCATTGTACCTTGAGGCAGGTGTGGGTAGAGAGCGGCTTCACGCAGACCAGTGGGCCCTTGGTTAGAGGCTGAATTGGTGCTGAGGGGTGCGGGGTGATCCTCCGCCATCTCCTGCCCATCCACCTCCATTCTGAGAGACTGCAGTTCACCTGTGGATGGATCCACTTCCTTAGAGCTCAAATGGGTCCACTCCTCATCATTACTCTGCTCCTGTGAAGGCAACATACAAAATACATGTTAAGAGTATATCTTCTTTCAAAGGCTCATGATCACAGCACCTAACTATATAAACAATTTGTATGTTTTGTTTGCTTACTTTTGCCCCCTCGGTGGTACTCCCTACGCTGCACGAACTCATCGGGTCTCCATTGGCTCCTCGAGAAAGAAGGCCTCCTGAGCTGCCGTCACTCCGGCCACTTGGAGGTCCACTTGAGGCGGGAGGAGTCTGTGTCACTTTGGCCTTTTTCCCCTCATGTTCCACGTCAATGTCCACATCTATGCCTGTGGAGAGGCGAGTTCATTTGTTAAACAAATAAGCAGGTGTACCACTGGGTTGTGAAAGTCATTCCATTAGCATGTATAAATGATTCATGCAGAACAGAGGGCCTATCATGTGACTCTTGTTTATGTGAGATGTTGATTGGCACAGAACCTACCAAGAGGGCTCAGCATAGCAGCCACACCCTCTCCAATGTTCTTCAGGTACTCCATGTTGGCCTGGGCAGAGCTAGAGGCTCCTGAAGACGAACAGAAATGGTTTAGGGACATTTGCAAATGTAACAAGCTAAATGAAAGACTAATAATTGGAAAATTATACAGCTGCTCCTAACAGGCTACTTTCTGTGAGTAGAAATGGATATGGCACCATCAATGCTAATTCAAACCCATCAGCTAGCAGATTCTATTGCACCCCTCGCCCCTACCAATTAGCCCTTATCCCTCCGTTTTGCACGTTCATGTCTAGAGTTAGGGTGATTTTTGCTGAGATAGAGGGGTGGGGCGAAGTGTTAGAGCTGCATGGCCCTCCAAAACAAGGTTTTTCAGAGACTCCAGAGTGTTATGAGGGGGGAAAAAAAAGAAAAACCGGCAAGATGGCTGTGCGAGCGACCTAACAAACCCACAAATGAGAGAATTTTCTCCATTAAAAAATTACAATAACCATTGTTTTATCTTAGTTTAATGTCGTTTTAATGTATTTATGGTCGTTTGCTTCGTAATAAGCATTAAAAAAATGCTAATAGTATGCTAATGTATCGGTAGCTAGCTAGCTAGCTAACTTTCCCATTCCACCTTAAATAGTCCAGCAGTTCTGAAGCCTGAAGCGCCAGAATGTAACTGCTGCTCCAGGTGGAACGGAAGCGCGATGCTAACGCAGATCTGACGTAACAGATCTGGCGGTTGAAATTCGAACAAGAATCTGGTGAATATCTGACTTCAGCTTCGTATCACTAAAGAATTAGCAGTGGGTGATAAAAAATAATTGCCCTCCTCTTTGAAGGCATATGATGCCCTAACTGTAACTAAAGCCCAGCAGTGAGGAGCTGAACTTTACCCTCCTCTGCTATCACTGAAGACGCACCAGGTCGCCTACAGAGCAGCGCTGGTAGCCTGTTGATTTTTTTTTTTTTCTAAATTTGAGGGTCCCATTTTGTAGGGCAAGATTTCAACCACTACCCCTTGTAACTCAGTTCCAACGGCTTAGGGTGACACTCAAAAACAAGGGGTAAGGGTAAAAAGAAGAAATGGGATTGGGCCAAGTATACGTACATTTTTATAATTTTATTCAAGCTCACTTAAGCTCATTTGTCGAAAAATGTTCCTTGTGTGCGTGGTCTGTATCTGGTAACAGAACCTTACCGTTTTGGGCCTGGCCATCCTGCGAGTTGGCCTCATGGGAGTCGGGCTGGGCTCCAGATGGACCCGGCTGAGCCTGGTTCTGGTTTTGAGCCTGAGCCTGAGCTTGGGCACCAGCCCACATGCAGTGCCTCATCTTGCGCCAAAATTTCCCACGAGGGAACCACTGAGAGAGAAGAAGAGCTTTAAAAAGACTGAAGCCAACCGTCTGGCATGCTGTCAGATAAGCAGAAAACTGAGGTAGAATAACCACCCAAATACCAAAGGACACAACTGGGAAGAGTATGTTCTGCGTGGAGGGGTCTTACCTCAAACATGTTGGCCATGGGATGAAAAATGGGCAGGAGGGGATGCTCCTTGTGGAGGCCCTTAGCCTGGCAGGTGGAGCAGAGGTCATAATCGGGGCACACGGTGCACTTGAAGCGAGTTCCAGCCACCTGTCCCTCGCATCCATCGCAGGTCACACCAGGGTGAACCATGGGAGGGTGCTGAGGAGGTGGGCCCATATGTGGTGGGGGTCCCATAGGAGGTGGTCCATGAGGCCCCATATGATGGTGTCCATGGGGCCCCATGTGGTGTGGTCCTGGAGGAGGAGCAAAGGGGAACCCTGGGACCCCATGAGGTGAGAAGTCACGCTTGTGCTCCTTTTTTTCTGAATGGGGAACAAACGGCAGAACAATGTTAGTACTTAGTTTCAGTGACTTTACGAGGTTATTTAACAGAAGTCTGAACATTCTTGTACTAAACAAAGGGAATATTTCTAGGTTTGATCTAAAAGCAGTGAAAATTCTCATCGATTCTCTGATTAATTCGTCATAAAAAGAGGTCATTATTTACTCCCTTCAGATCAGGGACATCCACATATATGAGGAACTTACCCTTGATGAAGAGGCGGAAGGTGTCATCCTTCACCAGAGTGAGTCCCATCATGAGCTCTTCATCAGTAGAGAAGGCAATCATGTCACCATCCTCATCTAGAGTGAGAAAGAAAAGCAGAACGAAGTGAGTGGTTGGTCTTGTGATGGCAACAGTTCGTTATTTTGTATTGCATCTTTATCCAAGGCCTTCTGTTTTTGTTAAATACAGTCACAAGGTCCTACTTTTGAGAGATAGATATGTGCAAACAAAGAACTTTGAACTTTTAGTACTTTACATAAGAAGTATTTTGTCCTAAATCAATGAGGGGGATTAAACCTTTTTATGCAGGGATTTGATTTTTAGATAATCCAAATTTTAATTACTTTTCCATGTGACTCTATTGTTCAATATTAAAGGGCCTGTCCTACGTTTACCTTTTTTTTGCCCGACATTGTTCCTGAGGGTTTATGTAACAACACCGCAACCATTTACCAGCCCTGTTTTTTTGTTACTGACCCTCCTTTAAGACTGATATGTGAATGACCACTGCTCTGATTAGCTGCCCTGTACTGTGCCAATTTCAGAAAGCAGTCCAGGCTGAAATGCGCCTTATAACTTATATGTGTGTGTATATAAGACTTTCACAATGTTTACTTACATCACACTATATTTAAAAACCTAGGAAATTCATTTTCCATGATGCGAGTCCTTTAAATGATTTCTCTCAATGTTTATATAAAATGTGTGATAAATTATTTAGCCCTTAGTTCAGAATATCAGGGCCTACGATATTCATTTGAGTCACTACTAGGGTAAAACCGGAAAGGCCACAGTCTTAGCATTAGGTCCACAAACAGAGCTCTCAAACACACCCTGAGAAAAACAACATTTTCAAATGTTTTTCCTTTTCATTTCTGAAGGTGGAGTCGAGTCAAACGCATGTACAGTGCCAGAAGTTATGAAGGAGAACGGGTCTGAGCGGCTAAACAGATGTTTACACTGATTAACACGAACGTTTACATGCATTTTACCTAAATCAGTCTGTTAAAATCATAATTCAAGTCTTATTTATACACGAGGCTGAAGTCTGGCTTCCTATTTA